TCCGACCCCCTCCTCTACCCGATCCGCGGGCAGACCGTCCTCGTGCGCAACGCCTCGCACGGCAACTTCAGCCTGTCGGGCACGGATGCGAGGGGACGAGAGCGCGTACATGATGGCGCGGGCGGCGGGCGGCGGGACGCTGTTGGGGGGGTGCTCGCAGGTGGGTCGGTGGAGCGGAGAGGTGGATGTGGAGATGGCGGGGAGGATTATGGCGAGGGCTGTGGGGCTGTGTCCTGGGCTAGTAGAGGATGGAGTGGAAGATCTCGATGTAATCAGACATGGCGTTGGTCTTCGCCGGCCAGAAAAGGGGGCGTGCGCTTGGAGAGCGAGGTTGTGGATGGGGTGCGCGTGGTGCATAATTATGGGCATGCGGGCGCGGGGTATCAGTGTTCGTATGGGTGTGCGGAGGTTGCTGTGAAGCTTGTTGATGAGGCGTTGAGGGATTAGATTGAGTAAGGGGGGTCATTACTGTATGGGCAAGGAAAGGTGGTATGCATATGGTACTCGTACAGGTATAATAATGTGTTGTTTGTTGATTTTCAGATGCATGAGTACTAGTATACATGATATGAATGAAGAAAGGATTTATTATATACGGAGTGCGGAGTATGTATATCTCATATTAAAGAATAAACCTGAATTGGCGAGACAGGTATATATAATTCTTCCTCTACTCCGTTACCCCGATTCAAACTCTATCGTACACTTAGTACACAAGGTAAGATTTCCACTTTCTTCTTAGCCCCCACCCCCTTTTCCCCCAACTTTGTTTTCGGAGAAACGAAGCATGATCTTTCCTTCCAAATCAGGAATATCGCACTACTAAAATATATCCCTTCCATTGGCCAAGCTAAATTAGACGTATACTTGACTGTTTGTTTAATGGCATTCATTAAAAATTGCACAAGTCTTATTTCAGCTAGATATTTACATGTATGTATTCTTTTTATGATGGTAAGGAGTACGGGGTATAGCTATGTCGAAACCAGCAAAGCAAACGGGTATATATCCTTATCCTCCCTACTAACTCCGGTTCCTGTCCATAATAGCAATTCTAGATGTGCATCTCAACCATACTGGCAGTGCTTCATATTATATCATAACCATAGCAAACCATCCAAGCAACACCATTCATCACACATCTACTCAGCATCGCCATCCTCAATCCCTGCCCTCTCCCAAACCTCATCCCTCGGCATACCCTCCAAGAACATAGCCTCCAGCGTCAAGAAGCACTCCTTCCTTACCCTCCTCTTCAAAGCCCAGTACTTACTCTCCTTCTCAACCCTCCCACTCTCCTCCTTTGTAACCATCTTCACACCCCCATCTTTGAAACCCTGCACCCTCTCTCTCTTCTCCGCGTTCGACGCTCGGAGATTCGAGACGATGATACTGAGGTCTGCGGTTGTGGGCGCGGAGAGGATATTGGAAAGCTTGCTGGTGAGGACTTTGGTTTTGGTCTTTAGTGGCGGGAGTGTGGTTTCGCGGAGCGTGCTGATCGTTGTATCCATAGCCGTGAGCTCCTCGGGTGTTGCGCTATCGGCAGGATCCTAAGCAATGAGCATCAGGTCAGTCACTTGATTACTTATCACGCTGATTTAATATGCGCAATTAGGGGGAAGGAATTCTGAATGAAGGGGGAACAGACTTGCTTGCACCAGAAAACCCACTGGCCGCCTCTCTTATCACCCGCTTTCTTCTCGCCGTTACTCGCTTTGCCCATGATTGCACCGCTCTGCTCCATTTCCTTGAGCATCTTGTCTGCGACTGTCTTGGTGACCTGCTTGAGGTATTAACGCGTGGTCCTTCCTGGAACCTCGGTAGGACCGTGGATCAAGATAATGGGAGCGGTACTATACGTACCTTGCCGTGCAAATTCGCACTAACCTCCGTAGCACTATACGGTCTATTCTGCTCCCTCAGATACGCCATGATCAACTGCTCAGCCTGGTCCCCCGTAACAGCCTTTACTTTCTCCTTTCCCGCCCCCCCTGCACCTCCACCCCCACCATCCTTCTTACCATCCTTTCCCTCCTTCCTACTAATCTCCCTCTTCATCTTCTCACCACCACCATCTTTCCTCTCCCCCTTACCAGCCCTCTCAATCTTCTCAATCTTCTCAGCCTTAGCCTTCGTCACTTTCAGCTGCTTATCAGCCTTGCTCTTCTCGACCTTCGACGCTTTGGGCTTGAGCGGTGATAGGGATGAGGCGATACTAGATGTGTCGTCGAGAGCTGGCGTCGTGGCTTTGGGTTTCGGGACTCGGGGTGCCATGGTTGAGATTCGTGAAGATCACTGATGGGAGGTGAATGATTGTTAGGGGCATGAGAGCTTTGAATAAATAGAAGAGATATATCTATGGTGAATGGATAAGATAATCGTACTCGGTGTACCGTGGGTCTGAGGTGTGGTTTAGGAGATGGATGTTGATGTCGAAAAGAGCTTGGTTAGAGGCGACCTGGAAAATAACCGAGACCTACCTCAAGGTCGCTCCTTTTTCGCCAAGTACGCATCGATAAAATCGCAATTGAGAGGGAGTAATTAGAATAAATGAACAAAAAACAAGGACCTTTTTACTTTAATACACCTTATCATATGTGGATTATTTTCTCTGGTATCATATCCACACTGTTTCTGCACAAAACATATGCACTCATCTATAGTAAAATGAAATTGGTAAAGGTCAAACGCCATGCCTATGCTCGCTCAATTCAAATGCTCTCTTTTTAAATCATAGTAATCGCTCCCAAATGCAACATAATAACCCATGTCCTATGAGACAACCATATATTATTTTAAACTTGGCGCGCTCACATGACAACCTATTCATACTCGTTAGTTTGAAGATTAACACATAATGAGGTAAACTTACGCATCCTTCCTCGGACTTCGCGGCTGGAATACCCATCTCCCCGAAAGTTGCGGGGCCTTTCTTTGCAGCGCTTGAGGATGTCGATGGTGCAGTAGAGGGTGCGGTGGAGGGTGCTGCGGACGGGGGTCGAGAATTCGGATGCCCTTGAGGAGACATGGGCTGTTGTGATGGACGCTGAGAGGCACGACTCTGGGCTGGGCTGTGTATCGACTCGAATCTCTCAGAATGAGCGGGACTCTGCAACGGAGTTTGATTCTGTGTCGGTGTCATCGAACTTTGTCGAACTGGTCGACTTGCATTATTCGCAATTGGGTCTCGCCGTTGAGCAGCAGGGTCCGTTGGCATCGCGGATTCTCGGGTGTATTTGTATGGCTGTTGAGGCACCGACTGTCTGGAAGGATCCTGTCCATATCCTTGGGGTTGTGCAGGCGGAGGTCTGTTCATGTTGACAGGTGGAACCTTCTGAAGCCTGTTCGAACTCTGCTCGAAATTGACAGGCCCACCAGCATCGATTGGAGGCAATTTCGGAGGTAAACCTGGAGAAGGTTGACGATAACCCGTGGGCGCTTGAGGATCCCAGCCGGCCGAAACAACGTGCCCTCTATCGGCCGGGTTGCTTCCTCGACCTCCTGGAACATGCATATTTCCCATACTCGTGGAAGGTCGCATTGGATCTTGTGGCCTGCCTCCATGCTGTCCTGGATCTAAACTCGTATTGGCGTGGTTCAAAGGCCTGATTCCAAACGCGGAGGTAGGCCTGTCTGCTTGTGGACCGCCTCGTGAATGTGGGCGTAACCCTTGGCCTTGACCTGGACCCGGACCATTGGCAAGCCTAGGGGGGTGCATCATATCATCCTCAGGATATGGGGCAACAGAAATAGGCCTCTGTGGGGGACGGTTGTTTTGCAAAGGGCGTGTTTCCCCAGTTCCGGAGTATGAAGATCTAGGATCTGGCATATCAAGTACATTGTCTGCTATACTCGGCATGGGGTCGAGCCGTTTTGCTAAACCAGGCGGTCTCCCTCCTCGCTGTGAACCACGTGTTGATTTGATACGATTAATTCCAATCTTCTCATGATCGCTTCTCGAGAAGGTGTTGTTCTTCTTGATACTGTCGATTCTCCCAAGTGCATCTTTATTCCCGTGTTGGGACGCCTTGTTGTACCAACTTTCCGACTCGCGTAGGTCCATGGGTACATAAATCCCGATTTCGTAAAAGTAGCCCAACGCAAACTCGGCCGTAGCCATACCCGTTGCAGCCGCCCTCTTGGCGTATGTGAAGGCCAGTTCTTCATTCTTCTCAAACACATCTTCATATCCACAGAGAAACCATTTACTGATCGCCATGTCCGCCTCAGCTTCTCCTTGCCGAGCTGCAAGCGCATTGTAATGCAAAGACAAGGTGGGCTCGAATTCACAACCCAGTTGACATAGTTCGTATGCTTGGGCCATTTTAAGCTGTGCTTTTCCAAATCCAAGATATGCCGCCTTCTCGATGAATAGCTTTGCATCGTTTAGATCGTACGGGAGAAACTGTTCCGGAATATTGATATTTGGTAATTCCTTAGCCAGAAGCATGCCGTAGACGTAGGCTCCTTGAGGGGCATTCTCATCGGCCGTATCTGCAGAGAAGCGTACGAGATCTACACCTGCCTGGAAGTTTTGCGGCATACCGTGTTGGCCTAACAAAGTCATCATCCCCAATCTGTAATTTGAGGCCGAATCCCCCATTGCAACCCCCCTCTTGTAATGATCTACAGCTTTCGCAAAGTCGCTTGAATTCTCGTATTGCATTCCTATCCGGTATTCAGCTCGTGCGTAACCCTTCTCCGCAGCTCTCCTATACCCTAGAAAGGCCTCTTTCTTATCCACCCGGTATCCAAACTTTCCAAACTCGAGCCACATCCCCTTCATGAATTCTGCCTTTGGGTGGTGCTGTTCTGCGAGAAATATGACAATATTGGTGGCGTCTTTTCTTAAAGAATGCTCGATTTTGGGAGTTATTGACCTGGGGGTTTGCCCTTCTGTCTCCAGTTTTATGGAGTATGTTTTCGCTGTCTCGACCCACGCAAGAGCGTCTTGTGCCCATGCTAATTGCATCTCCGGATCGGTGGTTTTGAGAACCAAAGGTCTTGCTCTCTCCAGGACTTCTTCCTTCTCGTCATCGGAAAGAGGTACATTTGGACCGGCATTGACGGGTTTGGGGAACGGAGAAAACGTGGGGGATTCGGCATTTGGTCGATGGTAACCACCCGGCCTGTCTATATTTTGGTATGCAGACGCATTCGTATGTTCGTAGCTCGCTGTGAAGCTCGGTCCGCTCGGGTATTGTTGTTGTGCGCCATGGTCTTGGTACTGATCGCGGGGTCTAAAATGTTGTTGATCGTAGCTGGGAGACTGCATAGAGGAAACGCTCGACATAGAGCTCATTCGGTGAGCTGGCGGGTTTCGTGATTCAAGCTCGAGATTTGCTAGTCCTTCTTGCATGTTCGACTCGACGTCATTCATCACCCTAAGTGGCCGGATCAGTCACAAAGGCCAAGTCAAACCACCGCAGGGAACTCTTTACCGTTGAGGAGCAGGAGATACAATATCTGGTGCATAATAATCGTCGGCGCCGCCTGGAATAAATGTTGCCCCCAGCGCTGAGGCCGATTGTTATATCCTTTTCCCGACATTTCGTACTGTATATCTTGTACCGGGGTAGACTGTGCCGGCGGGTGCGCATAAGAAGGCGTTTCTGCAAGCGGGTTGTCAGATCTAAGCAATGGAACGCTGGCAGGCGCAAGGGTATATACAGTCAGAGGTAAGAAGTGGGATTACTCAAACTCCTGAGCCTCTCCAGTGCATATGGAACGAGAAATGAGTAAGGAAGATGATTGCGAGGCAGTAAGCGGAAGGATTCCAAGCTATAAACCACGGCTGATTCGCTGTCTAATATCGAACGGAGATTGGGGCTGTGGGGGATGGATGGATGAGGCTACTTGAAGTTTTTGGAATATGGCGCCTGCTCGTCAAGCAGGACAGATTCGCTGATTAATCTCGAACTTACGGATCTGGTATTGATGCCTTGGTCCTTCACGTCTCCCTCCTGCTGTGCCTACTCTTCCTGCTTGTTGACCATTTGTTTGCTGCCAGTTTCGTTGGTCCCGTTGACCGGGGTTGTTGTAGTATGACATCTTCACACCTTCGTATTATACGGGAATTCGTGACAATAAAGAAGGAATGAACGGAGGTACAGTATCAGAAATAGCAAAGTGCAGTTTCAGCAGTTTCAAAGGGTGAAAGACAAGTCAAAGGGTGGAGGGGCGGGCAGTCACGTACAAAGGCGCCTGTGCTTATAGGTAGGTCTTGCGCAGCATCATGGTGTCAGACGCAGTGAATAAGAAAGAGGCTTGACAAGAGCTTTCTCTTCCACATTTGCTATGGATGATGAATAAGATGGATAATAATTCGGGTGGATTTATTGTTCCCCATACCAATAAAAATTATATTAATTACATTACATTAAATTTGGCCAAGTCCCTGCTGGTCCATGTCATTATGATGATTTGGCCTCCTTGTCATCCGTACCAGAGTCTGTATCCACATAGCATTGTTTATTGTTGGCGTATTGCTACCCCGCCAAGCACATAAAAGAGGAGGGGCGGGGCTTCGGATGCGGAATGGTAACATGGCATGGCCTCCCTCCCTACTTGGCATAAGTTGGTACAATCACCATCTCACTACTGTATAAACAAGGAGAATAGTCTGAAAGGCCAGGAAGCAAGATAATTCTACTTGCAACCTTTTCAACGTTTCTTCTCTCTTGCAACAAGCGACACGCCACCATGTGTTTCTTCTACAGTAATTCAAGCTTTTTGATCTCCCGGGAGTGGGGTTTTAGATCCAAGTTAGGCATCATTAATATCGGCATTTCCCGCCCAACCAAGCCGCCGGAGATTTGACGTCTGCATCTGTACCGGAACTAGTATAGAGGCGAAGAATAGACGCGTATGTAGAAGTACGAGCCACCAGAGCCCTTGCTGTATCATAAAAATAAAGTTGATACCATTGACATTGACAAAGGGAGACGGTTAAGGGGCTGTACGGAGGTACATGTGAAACTAAACAAGTGCAAGGCTGAACCATCAGCCGTGAAGGCTTTAATTTCCCATTGCTAAGCCAAGTCTGTTGTCAAGGCAATCCACGCTTTCTGCTGCGCGTGGAGGCCATGCTGTGTTGATTGACAACGCGTCTATTCATCCAACAATCTGCAGTAGCTGCATCGTCTTGTGTCAAAGGAAAAGCTAAAACCTAGACTGCGGCTATAGCTGTAGCTGCCATCTATTTTGGGACCATGGACAAGGCTGCAGAAGAGACCGAAGGTCTTCAAGATCATGTGACTATTCACAAGATCGACTTCCACCACCCCTATACGCCCTACGATATCCAGGAGACATTCATGAGCACCGTTTATCAAGTTCTAGAGGATGGAAAAGTCGGTATCCTTGAGTCGCCGACTGGAACGGTAAGTTTAATCTCCCACACGTGATCCATGATTCAAGTCTCATCTCTCCACCCGTCATCTTTGCGTTATATACTCATTCTAGGACAGGGCAAATCGCTAAGTCTAATTTGCGGTTCTCTGACTTGGCTACGCGATCACAAACGCAAAACCTTCGAGGAAGGCCTCGATTGGGGTCCAAATGGTAAAATCTTTTGATGCGTTTTTCAAAGTCACATTCTAATCAACCATAGACTCAAATAGTCCACAATGGCTCATCGAGCAGACCAAAGCCAGTAAACGCCGCGAGATGCTTCGTTCACGAGAAGATATGGAAGCCAGGCTAGCCAAGATTCGACTCAAAGAAAAGGCACAGAGGGATAGGTATCTTAAAGGAGATCATAAAGTCAAGAAGAGGAAGACCGATGCTGAAACCTCTGGAAAAGATGGCGATGAAGAGAAATTTGTTCTAGATGATTATGACAGTGATGAAGAACAACACAGTACTAAAGATGAAGGCAGCTTGTATTCCGCGAAAACCCTGGAGTTGATGGAACAGCTTGGTATGGGATCTATTGCAAAAGAAGAGGAAGAGGAAGTGGAAGAAGAAACAAAGGTCAGCAAGCCAATACCGTCACATGGCTTGATCTGACGTGTTGCAGATCTTCTACTGCTCGCGAACACATTCCCAGCTCACTCAGTTCATCAACGAGCTACGCCGTGTGAACTTCCCACCTGCATTTCCAGAGGAGAAACCCAGCAAAGAACCGCAAATCGAAGACCTCAAGCACCTAACTCTCGGTTCGCGCAAGAACCTCTGCATCAACCCCAAAGTCAACAAACTCGGCTCAGTGGCAGCAATCAACGAGCGCTGCTCCGAGCTTCAGCAGTCCAGTACTGCCAAAGAGCATAAATGCGTCTTCTTACCAAACAAGGAGAACCAACCTTTGGTCAATACGTTCCGCGATCATGCCCTCGCGACACTTCGAGATATTGAGGATCTGGGAGCACTTGGTAAGGAGATTGGTGTTTGTCCTTACTATGCGTCAAGAGCTGCTATCAAACCGGCCGAGATAGTCACATTACCATATCCGCTTCTGCTTCAGAAGAGCGCAAGAGAAGCTCTAGGGATCAGCTTGAAGGGCCACGTAGTGATCATTGACGAAGCTCATAACTTGATGGATGCCATTTCAAGCATCCATGGAGTGGAGATCAGTCTGAAACAATTGAAGGCGGCCAGAGCACAATTAGGAGTGTATCTGCAGAAGTTTCGAAATCGCTTAAAGGGCAAAAATCGCGTCTATATTGCTCAAGTAGTGAGAGTAATTGATTCTCTTGCTGGGTACCTGGAAGGACGATTGGCGCTTCCGGTATGTTTCTTCGTCTTACAGCTTTGAAGGGAAATTTTTAATCTTGAGAATAGCAAGCAGATGGCATTGTCTTAGAGAAAGAGCTCCTGGCTGGAAAAGGAGTTGATCAAATCAACCTCTTCAAACTAATTCGATACCTTCAAGAAAGTAAGCTGGCACGAAAAGTCGAAGGCTACGCTACTCACACGGCAGATACCTCGACCTCCGTCTCTGCCCAAAACAACAAGAAGAACATCTCATCTCAACCCAAACCCAAACCCGACTCCACAACCCCAGTCCTCCACCACATAACCTCCCTCCTCTCCGTGCTCACCCACCCCTCCAAAGAAGGCCAACTATTCTTCAGCAAACCCACCTCTTCCCCCGCCACGCAAGAACCCATATCCATAAGCCTCAAATACCAACTCCTCGACCCCTCCCCCCACTTCCACGACATTGTCTCCTCAGCCCGCGCCGTAATCCTAGCCGGCGGCACCATGTCCCCCATGCACGACTACACCACCCACCTATTCCCCTACCTCCCCCCCTCCTCCCTCACCACCCTCTCCAGCGGCCACGTCATCCCCCGCCAGAACCTAATCGCCTGGAACCTGTCCCGCGGGCCTTCAGGCCAAGCCCTCGAATTCACATTCAAGAACCGCGGCAACACGCAAATGGTAGACGATCTCGGCCGCGCCCTGCTAAACCTCTGCACCGTCGTCCCAGACGGCATAGTCGTCTTTTTCCCCTCCTACAATTACCTCGCCTCCATCATCGCTCAATGGTCTAAACCCCCATCCACACCCCCTTCCACATCATCCTCCACACCCACTCTTCACACCCCAGAACCCAACAAATCTCAAACTCAAACCCTCTACGCGCGACTCGCCGCCAAAAAACCAATCTTCACAGAATCCAAAGACCGCCCCGTCGAAGAAACCCTCACCGCCTACACGCAAAGCATCGATACCAACCACGGCGGGCTCCTACTAAGTGTCGTGGGCGGAAAAATGAGCGAAGGGATAAACTTCAGCGACCGTCTAGGCCGGCTCGTCGTTATCGTCGGGCTGCCCTTCCCCAACATCATGAGCGCCGAGTGGAAAGCTAAGATGGCCTATGTCGAGTCCTCTACCATTGCACAACTGGAACTAGAAAATCACGAAAATCAAGAAAATCAACAAGCTCAAAAAGGTGTAGAAACAGCCAAAGCCAAAAAGAACATGACCCGCAACGAAATACACAACGTCGCCAAGGCTCAAGGCCGAGAACTCTACGAGAATGCATGCATGCGCGCCGTGAACCAGTCCATAGGCCGCGCGATCCGGCACCGTGGCGATTACGCTACCATCGTGATGGTTGATGCCCGGTTCGAGGGAGAGCGGATCCGAGGGAAGTTGCCCGGGTGGATTAGGGAGGGGCTGGTGGATGATGCGGGGAGTAAGAGTTTTGGGACGTTGATGGGGCGGTTGGGGGGTTTTTTTGCCGAGAAGAAGAGGGGGGTTTGAGTGAGGAGGGAGGGGTTGTTTAATGGGATGGATGGGCTGTTATGTTATATAGAATGTGTGCTGTAAAAAGGTGCCCTCGTTTTCACGCAGTATAGGTTCTATGGCTGTTTTTCATGTCGATTGTTGAGATGTGGTTATTACTGATGGGCTTATAATCTTTTCTGCAACACCTGAATGTCTTGGACCCGTGACATATTTTGACTGGAAAGAGAAAGGACCGGGAAATATGGTATTGTTGTAGCAACATTATAATCTATACTTCAGCTAGAATCTAGCAACACCATGCACTATATCACCAACCCCTAAACCACATTGCAAATTCCATAAATTCCATTCCGTCAGAAACCAAGCAATTCTATACTCTCAAATCCAGAGTCTAAATGACGTACTACTCACACATCAGTATTTCCACTCACGCCAGTCCATCCGAAGAGGAAATACATACCGGGATGAACAAATAAGGAACCATCTTTTCATATTCCGTCCAACTATCTCCATACTTCACCCTGCAACGTTGGATATCCCTATACGCGCGGTGCAGGATCATAACCGTAAAGAACACCGGGTAGAACCACGGGAACGGGCTCTCGAATCCGGTAATGGCGCCCCAGGCAAGCGCGAAATACGCATCGCAGGTATAGTGGAGCTTGCGAGCATATTTGTACCAGCCATCGACGAGAATCTTGTCTCCAGATGGGGTGGTGATCGTGCGGGGCTTCGTAAGTGTCTGCCACGGAAGTTGCGGGAAGGTATTCCTCACGACCAGTTGCCCGCGCTCTTGTTGCCTGAAACGGTTCTTCTGGCTATTGGTCGAGTCCCAGACCCAGTATACGAAGAGGTAGGATGTGAAGAGGAAGATGAGAACGGGGGTGCGGAAGGCCGGAATCGACCATTCGGTTGCTATCGCTAGGTTGTTGGCAAAGTAGAGCGTGCAGTGGCAGTAGCTAAGGGGAACACCGGCGAGGTTCCAGAAGATGAGCATGAAGCCCCATTTTTCGTAGTAGATGTCCCTTTGCTGGGTCAGACTTGGATAGGAATGGGTTTAGGAAAGGGAGACGAACCATGTAGTCAAGATGCACTCTTCGCCCTTGGCACATGCGTTGGTATATATGAAGTGAGCCATGACCAGGAACATGAGTTCAGCAGAGACGTAACCGTAGTCCTCATACTGCTTTGCAGCTGTAGCACATGTTATGCCAAAGAGAATGAACCAAGGCATGCGGACCATGAAAAACATCTTGAAATCCAAAGTGCCAATCCTGGGATTCAGTTCCGAGCCCATGAAGAAGTCATACATGAAATAGCCTGTCATTCTGTGCTGCACGCCGCGGAACCAAGCAGACGTATAAGCCGCAACGGCTACGAGAAAGCCTGAGATAATGGCAACTGACAATATGGGTCCGAATTCGTCAATGACAGTGTAGAGCGGGAAGATGTCTGTGAAATGCAGTGCGGCAGCTCCTAAGATGGTGATGTAGAATGACCAGACCGCACTACAATGGTACTCGAGTTGCTTTCCCCCTTCGTGATCTAGTGGCTTTCCGTAGCCCTGGACACCAGGAAGATAGCAGTAGAATGCAGCCTCAGTGATGAAGAATGTCCAGTAGATGGCCCAGGCCTTTGTGCTCGGGAAGGCGTGTTCGTACACCAGATTTGCGAGATGTCTAACAAAGCTCCCGAAAGACTCCGTAGAGGTAGGGACTGGGAATTGACCGTCGTAGAATGTCGCACCGATCCACATGTAGTACATTAGTAAAGGAAAGCCGACTATCATGGTACTGACTCCCAAAGGGCCGCAGAATTCGAAATGACCGGAATGATCCACCTTGGGATCTTCTCCTGGCTTCCAGCCATCTACTGATTTGGCGTTGGAGATGAAGGCTTTGGCAGATGAAGTTGAGAGGCCTCTGACCCGGGTGGTAAAAGAACGAGGGTGGCAGCTCGTTGGGGGAGCGCCTGGTAGAGATTGGATACCGAACTCAGGCATATTGATTTGCATACAGTGTTCAGCGAATGAAGATGGGGATGTAGGAAGAATGCGTTGGTTTAATAGGAGAAGGAGGTGGTTGAAATTATTGAGACGAGTGGCTTGACGTCCAAGAACGAGCGGGGACCTATATACATATAATAAGTGAATGAAAAGGAAATCCTATTTAATTGTGAATTCCAGCTAAATATTGATTGGAATATATCGAAATGGGCCCTAATTTGACACTTGACGTATGGATTTAGACTCGCCGGTCCACGCGCAATCCGCGGGATGCGGCTTACCCCTTTTTGTGTTATGCTATGGAAAACAGTCGCCATCGCCATTTCAACCGTACAGTACCCGTTTTTCTTTGTCCGGCCAACACGAACTTTGTCCGCGTTCCGCGCGCTTCACGGCCGCGCTTCGAGCTATAGTGCAAAACAAACTCCGAACTTCCCTTCTTCAACATTATTCAGCCCCTATTCTTATTCTTATTACGGCATGCAAATCAATGTGAGCATTCTACTTCGAAACTCTACTCTGATCCACGAGCCAATTAAAATGGATATGTCGGGAAAGAGTCACTCTACAGAAAAGGCCAAGGCGAACAGGCTCGGCAAACATGGCAGGAGCGAGACTTCACTTCTTCCTAAATCGGTATGGACGTATAGATCTGATCAATTAATGAATCCGGGGGCTGATATATCGCGTGTCTGTCACTTTAGTGTGGTAATTGTAGGATCAGAAAGGTCTCTCAAGCTTGTCTTGTGCTGTGCTGGACGGGCCCTTTCGTCTAACCTTCCCTAGATTCGATGTGACAAGAACTCCCCATGTTCAAGCTGTCAAATAGCAAAATTATCATGCGGGACTACGACAACAGTAGGAAGGACCGAGCCCCAGTTTAATGCTACTCCAGAAACAAACCTGTTAGCACAATAGTACTCGAAGTACACACAGCTTTTGACATCATCTAGTGAGCAACGGGATCTCAGCCTCATCCAAGAGAGCGTTCTTGAGATCAAAGAGCGTCTCGAAAGACTCGAGAAGAGTCAACAAGCTCCGAAGCACCCCTTCGACGTTTGCGTTGTAACCGCTGAACGCAATGCTGCGTCGGCCCCGAGCACAACTTTTCAGAATGAACCTTCCTTCCTACAGCAGTCCGCACAAGCCTCTCTTTCTGCAGAAATATCAGCTGAAGAAGCCAAAACTGGTGATTCTAGCCGGGAAATACAGTATTCATTAGCATCCTTGAAGTCACTTCTCCAAGGAGCCTATCTGCCTTCGTCGATCAACGATCTGTATTTTCCTTGCTCAACCGCTCGAGCACCAGTTGAGGATATCGAACTTCCCCCAATGTCACTTGTTGTTGCTGCATTAAGGAAAGCAACAGGTCTGTAATGAATGTGCGAGACTAATAGGCTTTGGCTGACACCTCAAAAGTGAAACTACCTCCAGTGATCTTACACAATGGCTTCAGAGACCATATGATGCTCGAGAATTTATGCAAGAAGGTATACTTTCCAGCAAGACCAAGTTCAAAGGGTGAGGTTACTCTCATGAATGGTCTTTTATTCTACCTTCTAGATGCGTACGGCCAAGAGGACCAAGCAGCTCTCTCAAGTTCTGATTGTGCAACCTACGCCAAGCTGTGCGAAAAGAATTTCTGCGACGGTATCCAGGACTATGAATGCTTGGTCACACCCACTTTGGAGAATATTCAGTGTCTGATGATGGGTGTATGTATTCCTGCCTTCTATCTCCACCTCCAGTGCTTATCTAAAGCTTCTTTAAATAGGCCATGAAAGCGCAAGGAGATGCTCGACCTTCTCTATGTTGGACTCTCGTCTCCACAGGCGCGCGATTGTGCCAAAGTTTAGGTTACCACCGAGAATCCGAAGTAGCACGTGGCCCGCCTGACCTCGCAGATGCGAAACGACACGTTTTCTGGATGCTATACATGATAGACAAGGTCATGTCTCTCAATCTTGGACGAGCCTCGAGCTTTCCAGACTACGATATCGATGTGGAAGTTTTCTCGCCAAACCCCAACCCGAGATTCTGGGCCTGGGATAAGGTATTGATGGCATTCATCGAACTTTGTAAGCTTCAAGGTCAGATGTACGATGAACTCTACTCGGCTAGAGCTCGATGCCAGCCGCCAGAAATGAGATCGCGATTGATCCAAGAACGTTCTGCGAGTCTATTTGCTTGGCACGTTAGCTTAAAAAAGGTACCAGCTTTCATCAAAGATGTACGTCGAAATCAAATGTCTGACTTTAATAGATCGATACACAACATGCACAAGACCAAAACGACTTGAACCTCCTCATCAGCTGGTCGGATTTTTTCTACTACTACATATTAACACTTTTATACGGAGCCAAAACATCCCAAGAAGCTGCGACGCATATTAGTTCCCAGCGGTATAAAGCTGCGAGTCTAGGATTGCAATGCCACGTACAGAATTATGCAAAGCTGTCTTCAACCGAAGTACCCAGCATGCGCGTCTATTCCGGCTGGTAAGTTCTCCTTTCCCCCAGCCACAGACAGACAGACAGATATTTAAACCCATTGCGTGCCGCAGGATATTACTATTCTCCTCCTTCGCGCCTTTCCTCGTCGTCTTCACTCACTCCATAGCCTCGCACAGCCAAGCCGACGTCGACCTCCTACGCCAAGTCCTACGGACCCTCGAAGCAGGCCGCAGCATATCCGCAGCTACTAACCGCTTGTACGAAATGTGTAAAGTATTCCTGAGATTCGCTACGGCTTTTGTGCATTCCAGGCAGGATTGTTTCGGCTCGTATAACCCAGAAGAAGATTCTTTTACGTTTCCAATGGAAGCTAACACTAATAATGTCTATAATTTGGCCTCCTCGGAGTTTAGTCCCAGTGGAAGCGGGGACTTTGAGACTATGCAGGAGAATCTGGTGCCTATGTCTGCGTTCTTGGAGACGTATTTAGGGCAGAATATGAATGGGCTTTGGAATATGGATTTTTCTTGAGAGGATTGTATTTGAGATACTTGCTTCTAGGGGTGTGAAATCCTCGGAAATGGACCTACTGAGCTCGGGTAGGCTCGGTGTTATGTATGAATGTACAGTGTAGATGGCATTCCTGCCTCGGAGTAAAGAGTCCTTCCTCTGGCAGCAATTCTTCAAGACTGGGTTTCATTTCATGCTAAACAAATGATAATACAGTGCATGCAAGCAGGCTTAAGCACCTTTTACCCAAACCCCAGTCCTCCATTGACCATGCATGCATATCATACTCCATACCTATCTCGGAATCCTACTTACTTGACCATCACATCACATCACCACGCGGTGTAGTATAATACTTATATAAATTGTCGACTCCTCATCTCATCCCACCGTTATCATATCGCTGCGTGGCAATGGCATATTGTAATTACAGATAGCTACCTCGCAGAACTCCCATCTAAAGCAATGCAATATACGCCACTATTGTATTCTTGTAATGGATACGGTAAGGAGTATCCAACCATCTTATCCCTATCCAAAATATGCCACGCGCGCCTTCCCTTCCCTTTCCATGCCATGCCAACCCAAAACGCTACTGATACTGATACTCAACGCTCAAAAGTAATCTTACCAGTCCTTTGTAAATAAACACAAAAAAAAACAAAAATATGCTCGTAACCCACTCCCCATCAATTTCCATTTCCCAATCCAAACGCCCAATCCCAAATCCGACACCCTTTTGAAAATCCCGCAGTCCATGAATAGGTACGTACCGTACGTAATACACCAATACCATACCGTACCTCAGACAGCCAAGAACTTAGCCGCCAGCTTCTCCACCGCAGCCCCCTGGCTATTACTCGCCTTCTTCAGCAAGCTCGCGCGCTCCCTCTCATACGCCTCTTTCTGCATCGCCTGTCGCTGCTGCTGTGGGCTAAGCGTGTAAAGCGGCTGTCCCATTCCCATTCCCTGTCCCGGATTCGTTGCCCCGTTATGGTTATTATTCCTTTGAGAGATACCCGAACCCGGAGAAGCAAAACTAGCCGGGTTGAATGGCGACTGCGGTTGTGATTGCGAGGTTGTGCTTTCGTCTGTAGGCGTATTTCTAGCGCTGGAGCTGGAGCTGGAGCTGGAGCTCGAGGGAGCGTAGGTGTAGACGCCGCGCGTTACGGCTGCGGCTAGCATTTCTGGCGTGGGCGCTGCGTGGCCCATGTTGTCGCGGCGGATGGTCATGGAGGGGAGGCGGAGCTGGAACTATGTTTCGTTGTAAGTAAGTAATTTAGCAGAGGTAAGAAAGGAAGGAAGAACGGAAGGAGAAATAAGGGGGAGATAATTAAGACAGACGTACGCCACTGAGGACTTTCGCATGGCTCAAGCCTATAACTTCGCCGATAAAGACTAAACGGCCCTTGACCCACGCGCGCTGCAGATCCGTGATGGAGTCCGTAGCGCTGATAGAGAAGAGCGGCCATATAGCGAAGAAGGCAGCGGCGCCGCTGGGGCTGACGAAGTTCTTAGGGCGGGCAGCGCCGTTGGGTTGTTCGCCAGCTGGCGAATCGCCTCCTCCGTGGCCGACGCGCCAGCCGAGGAAAAACGGTATCGATGCAATGGTTTCGGTGATCAGGTCGTGGCATAGCCGTGACTCGGTGCTGTACTCAGGAGCAGTGCGGTAATCTAGAGGCGAGCGGATCCATGCTGCACAGCGGACAATCGTGCCTGATATGTAGAGTCGTAATATACGTGTGTGGTTCCTGCCACAGCGAATTAGCATGGTGAAAAGTCAAGTGCTTGAAGAGAGCCTAGGAGTTGTCTCGGAAGATGGTATATGGGCTCCTGGAAAGGCTCCTAGCTCCATAGACGACCGCAACTTTTTGGTATGAGAATAAGCTTACCACATAGTGGCTATCCGGATATCTTGGTATACATCAACCTTTCCGGGACAGACTTCCGCTTTGGTGATATCACCTCCTGGGATTTGGTCGACCCATGCTATGGACTTCGGTTTCAGGTATTCTGGCAACAGTGATTCCCATTGCAAATACTGTTTTTCCATGACCCGAGCTCTGCGAATGAACTCGGTGGCTTTCTGGAAGTATTCTGGCGTCCGGGGCCAGTCCGCAAGTGCGGCGTGGATTTCAGACCTTAATGTTGCTACTGCGATGTTAAGTCTTACTATAAAGTCCTCGCCTGGTGAGTCGGTACACCACCAGTCGGCTCCTCCTGCTGGCACTTTTGAGGCGGTCATGCAGTTGACGGTCTGGTTTATTTTTATTTTTAGCGGAGTGTCACATTGAAAATGGGGTCATGTGAAACTTTACCATTTGGTTCCTTACTACCCGAAACATACTTTGCCCAATTTTCGTTCGTAATTGCTTCTTACCCCGCATTCTGACGACCTGTACTGCGCCGTCGACATGCGAGTACCATGCTTGAGCATTGTTACTTTGCGCCAAAACCGTCTGGTATTGTATCAGTATATTATTCAGCCGATCCACAGATCTACGAACCTCAAAAAAGCCCAACATTAGAATTGAAGCTAGTGTCTGGTCGGTTTTCTGATGAGCTGGGTTCTGGAGTGCTAAGTTTGTAGCCTTCAGAGCTTTTGCATATTGTCCCATAGCTTTGGGCAGCAGCCCTCGTCCTCTTGAATTGGGTCTATTCGCTAGAGCCGCCATTGCAACAGCTTCAAAAGCAACTGATAATGTAGAGTTCGGTCCCGCTATTTTCATCAAAGGCTCGAGATAATCGAAATGTCCTGGCCCTGTCCCAGCCCCTCTATCTGAAAGGGGTATGATGAAATTAGTTACGAAGAAGCAGGGCGCTTGTTGTTCAATAGGAACCGAGAGTGCGAGTGCTTGTGATGTTGAAAGCATCATTGCCAGCCTTGAAGAGGAGGTATCCTGCATGTTGCTATCATCTCTAAGACTATTGGCAAGATCGGCTTGATTGTCGAGTATACCCTGCCTCTTGATGTGTAATGTTTTTCTGGCCCTTTTCTCCGTGGCTTGCGTCTCATTGCGAAAGACTAGATCGAATTCGTCTTTGTACCCAGGACATTGGCGCCTTGATTTTTGGCATTGCGAACATGTAGGTTTTGTTTCGTCGCACTATACAACCAAAATCAGTAGACGAACTAGAGGGCTGTTCGAAAAAGCCCCTCAGCATATCGCGTACCTTAATTCTTCTTGTCCTGCACATCTGACAGCCACGGGATGGCTTCCCGCAGTAGACCATAGTCACAAGAGCACTTAAGCGCGCTAAGTACAAACTACCCGTACTCGTATTTTGGCCAGAAACCAAAAAACCTGATTGAAGCTCAATTGTTGATTGATAGATTTTATGACACCGGCCAATGTTGTAAATGTACCGATGAACTGGACTTGAACTTAGATCAAGTACAGGTTGCAATTCAAACAGTTCCCATATCAATCTCCGATTGAACTAAGGAAACAACCGTAGCTACTATGGAAGCTCTGCTGGGTTCGTCCTGGGTTCGCGCGGGTGATCGACTAATAGCGCGGATTTGGATGGTGTAGCACTGTTGGTAAGACGTCTAATAGAGAAACGCTTGTCGCAGAGAGAGAGAGAGAGTAAACTCCGAGTGATAAGAAGAACCGGTAGAAAATTGGGATGGTGTACTTGTATATGGGGACTAAGAAGCTTTATCTGGGGGATTGCGGCTTGCTTCCCTCGATCTTTTGACCCCAGCGATATCCAATTGGTCCTGTCCCAGTCATTGATCATCGAGCCAGTGTGAACCTTGCAACAGAGCTCGCAAGGCCAAAGGCATCAAAAACAGGGATCTGCGCGGGTCTGCGAAGGCTTAAAATGTTGCAGACTTTGGCAATGAATACGCTTGGACCCCTTTTTTGAATTAGATCTGCACAACTGCGTGCCGCGAAGTCGAGCCGGAATTTAGGGGGTTTACGAAGTAAGTACGAAGTCTGCAGAATGGTTGTAGATTGTTTGTAGATTTGTAGATGGAGGTGCTTATACATGTAGGGTCCAGGCTAGGGTACTTTGCAGTACCGGTGGTGACAAATTGGCTGTTTCTAGACAAGTCTAATCTCGAACCTGGATCTTAGTACTTACCCCTCATGTTTAGAAAAAATCATACTCTGTACCGGCAGACCCGAAATTCGAAACCCAAACGGCCACTAGAAGAATAGTGTCAATGTGTGCAAGTGTCAAAAAGAAGGCCGCATCCTAGTGCTGCATGTTGCGAGCTTTTTGCTTTCTTTTGTCCGGGACAAGGTGTTGAGCTTCGTGCATCAGCCACCAATTAGTCCCTTAGTTTTGCCTATTACTACACTACAGTAGCAGAACGCGGGATTTCTTGGAGAAGCCCAGCTTATCTCAGGGGTCCGCGGGTCCGGGAACCAAGGAATCAGAGCAAGCCCATCCCAGTGAGGGCCTTTTCAAGAAATCATCTTCCATACGGAAGGGAGTCTGTATCTTTTGCGCCTCTCTGCATTGGACAGACCAGGTGAGTAACTCGCAGTGATTTTGTTGGGGAACCAGGGGTATATGCTTGGAGTGGAGATGAGTGGATACAAAGAAGTTGGGGGGTGGGGTATCTGTCTGTAGCCGCCATATCAGTTTCATCGGCTTGTCAGCTTGTTAGTTTTTGATCTCGATGATCTCCCGGCTGTACAGTACTTTCCGTGGTATGTATGGCTACATTGCAGGAGTCTAGGGCCTCGACAACTCGTTGTCGTGAACTGCATTGCGTTATAGGAGATCTCCATGGAGCTACGGAGTATGGTTCGATTACAGGAACGGGTTTGGCGACCCACTTCAGCCACGACATCTCATTGTAAGCCACATCTTGAATAGTAGCGTTGGCCTAAGAACCATGGCGGGGAATACTGCTTCGCAAATAGAAATAAGAAACTGCACTTTCTGGAAAGAATGTGCTCTAAATTGTAGTGGACTACTTGTGATCGGATCTCAGCAGTCAGCAGTTTCTACGGTACAGAATCCATGGTGGATCTGAATTCTTGGACTCCGTATTCCAATATATAATCAAGCAGGTTGAAAAATTGCATTATTCGGACCTCCATAGCTAAGTACTGTCCTTTGAGATTCTTTACGCTAAGGTACCTACCTGCTTTATATCATATGCATTGGAAAGGGGACTTACTTCGTACAAGTATTGAATAGAGTGCCTCCTGTACAACCAACAGACCAACATTCTGACATCTGCATAGACGCCCCTAAAAAGGCAAGATCAAACGAGAATCAATGCATTCTAATACGAGTTTGACATTTGACATACTATTATTCGCCTTATTACCTCCAGCTATAACCTTTCATATGTCTAAATATGCAGGACGAAAATGAATAATCACACACAGCATAGTGGACCTACATCATGGTACTCATGATAGGCTACATAATGAAGTTTTCTAAATCCTCTATACGGGTATGCAATAAGCCACGGCTTTTCCAACATACAATCGCGACGCACCTTCAAATGCTTCCCAACAGACCAACAGTACCCCGATCCAGGTCGTACTGTACATTGTACCAAAAACTCGCCTCCTGAAAAGCGCCTGCTCCTAAAGATACGCCATGTGTCAATTTAAGCATACATGCAGATAAACATTACTCCATACTCATCGAATGTGTTCTCGCCAAAATTCAGAATGCATGCAGAAATCATGGCTCATCAAACATTCCCGCCACACCTTCTAGGCTCGGGCTTGGCTGTCTGTTCTCTGGCGCTGTGGGTCGCTCTTTCATGAACTCTTGCTGCATCTTGCTACGTTCTTTACGCACCGTCGAGGCGGATTTGCTGATACGGCCTTGCTCGCTGATGCTTACCCCTTTCAAATCGCGCAGCAGGTCGAGGACAAGGGCTCGTTGCTGGCGTTGCTGCACACCTTGGCGATTCACGTAGTCGATACACTTATCCACGGACTTTTCCTGGATACCTGGGAGGCTGAGCAATATTTGTTTTGGTGTGTTCGTGGCTGGGGAGTAGTAGATCAAGATAGCTGCTATGACTTGCGCAAGATCCTTTTGCAGGTCGACGAAGTAGTGCTCGTTTAAGGACGAGATGCAAGCCTTGAGGACTTCGGTGCTGATGAACTCGCGGATCGAGGAGGAGAGTGGATTCTCGTTAGAAGCGGCTGCAAATTCTGGGATGATGGAACGGTAGACCCGCAGTACTACCCCGCAGCATCGGCCATCGCGCATACGGATTGCATGGGCCAGAAAAAGGAGAAGAGGCTCAAGGATCGTGGAATTTGTAAGGCAAAACTTCCGCATTGATGGGTAAGCTGAGGCGGGGTTGGCTTCATTGACGTAAGTCGACGCATCTTTTGCGGTACCAACGGCAGCTTGAGGATCTGTAACATATGAGCACATATTATATAGGAAGTGAGTGGATATGCTTACTGGTGCGGGCCGGATCGAGTAAGCTCCCAATCATCATGACCGCTGCATGAGTTAGTTGACGAAGTATACTCTCCTCCTTCATCTCCTCAGTCAAATTATCGCTCTCAGTCTGGGCTAATTGCTTATGAGCAAGCTTCTCCCACTCGGAGCTGATTTTTGCATCCATCTGAGTAAAACAAGTGGCCAAAATTGGAGGGACGAAATGATGGCGAACCTCCACGGGGCAGTCGTCAACTAACAGTCGGACTACGCTCAGTAGCGCAATCAGTTGATGCGATGACAGATTATCGGCATCAGCGAAAAGAGCATGTGCAAGAGGTCCCGGAAGTTCGCTAAAGCCGTAGAAATCGACATCTAACCGGCTCATGCACCAAAGAATAGAGTAACAGGCCTCTCGAACTGTACGGACAGATCCACGAATCGACGACGCAAAGCCTTCCATAGTTGACCTAGTACCAGTTACGCGAGCATAAAAGTCGTCTTTGGTTCCTTCCGAGATACCGGCTTGCCAAAAGCGATCAGTCAATATGCGGCCCACCATTCCTCTCATTTCAGGAGGGAGCCCCGCCCAGTTGGATGGATTGTGGAAAGAATGCGCATGGCTAAAATGTAAGTAAACGTTTCGAATCGTGGATTGAATGGGACAAACCTCAGGAATTTAAGCAGGTCAGGAAGAATGACGGGCAAAGCATCGCGCCAAAGTGTACATGATACTTTATAAGCCGGCGAGTCTTTCTCAATTTTTTCCGTTGAACAGGCTAGGAAACTCTTCGTAGTCCTTAAGGGAAGTGCCTGCCGGAAAATAACGTCAGTCAAGGGATGCGCAAGAAATTATTGTACTTGCCTTTAATCGTTCTTCCAGTTCTGCTTGCAGCGCTTGTCCTTCAGCATCAAGCTTGTACAATCCCCACTCTTGAATTTCATGTACCCGGCGTGACACCAGATATTCGCGGACTTTGCTGAGACCTAGAAGGTCGCAAAACCCGCCGAAAGATGAGAGCGCTTCGTCCATTTCGGGATTCTGCCATAATTGCTGAACAGGGCCGATGAAAGCGTGGAGCTTCTGTAGGCGAATGTCCGAGTCAATGTTCGTAGCACGATGAATGATGGTGAATAAGAATGTCTGATACGAAATCTGTTTTTTCGTATCAAGCCTGCCGGAAGCAATGATCTCGTTAACCTTGATCTCAAGCTGATCATAGACATCCAAGAGATGATTCGGCATTTTGCTAGCTAAACGCTGCAGTTCAGACGTGCAATCCGCCTGTAATTCCTTCACAGCTTCGCTGTACGAAGCATGTTCGCTGTTTTCAGTAGGCTGGCTCATTAATATATGCTCAAGCACTTTGAGCATGAATCCAACTTTCTTATCAAGAGCCGTTGTAGAAAAAGCAACTGCCAGCACCAGCACTCGTTTCCGAATGATTGGGTCCTGTGCCCCTATGTTAGCACGAGTTTGCAAAACAAGAACTTAAACAAACCTCAAAGTGCATTTCGAGTAGTCGCTCACACCATGCTTCAAGATAGTTCTCAATAGCTACACGTTCTTGATCCTAGGAAAGGTTAATACAAAGCCAGCTAAGTAGAAGGGAGAGAGTTTAGTACGTCTTGTTGCAATTTTGAGCCATGCACTGATCGCCACTTCATGTATCCCTTCAAAGCTGCCTCGACAACAGTGAAATGTGCGTCTATCATCAAGACAGGCATAGAATGCTTGGAGTAATTTTCGACTGAATAGACAATTAGCAGCAACGGACACGTACGGTGCGGCAAGTAGTCAAACCTGAAAATCGAGGACGGCCATCATAGAGATGTTGCAGGGAGTGATCAACCTGACTCAATATGTGATAAATAGCCTCAGATTGTTTTTGACGAACAATGGCCTCAATAATCGAGGTGCTGTAACGTCTATAGTTCCCGAGGAAAGCGTGTCTCTCAGGCTGTGTGTCAATGTCTTCTAATAAAAAGACCAGAGATGCTTCCTCCGAGTCTTCTGGCAGGTGTTCGTACCGGATTAATCTTGAGCTGCAAAGTTCAAGGAGAGGTGCAATTAGTGGGGTGAGAGTGGGAGATTCGCCAAGGGTATTAGAACGCAGTAATCGAGTCCAGGTAACGAGGATGGGTATCGAAACGACGAGGCTTTGGCTTTGGGCAATAGCAAGAAAAAGATTTAATAAATTAGGAAGATCACAGTCTTCTGGTATGGATGAGAGCTTCTGTTCAATGAAACTTCCGAGATTAGACATCATCTATCGTCAAGTTAGCATATTGTACGGAGAAGGTATCAAGTCACTCGAACCTCAGAAAACTTCTTAGAAAACAGGTATTTCTCATCATCGATATCCTGGCAGTCGACAATGGACCATTGGTATAGTTTGCGTAAAAGATCAACTGTTTGGCTTGTGTACATAGGGCATACGAGGGACAAGAACTCCTCATCCGAGAAAGGCATTCTGCAGTACAGGGCATGAAGTGCTTCAACAGAGGCCTGATAAAAATTAGTACGGGTTTGCAGGAATCGCGGATCTATAGATGATTTACCAACTGGACTGGCACGCTAGATGCAGCAAGACTTTTGCACATATGCCCGACGCAAGAAGCACTTGCAATTGCTCGTGGTATTGCCCATGGCATGACAGATTTGTAAACTGCCAACGTCTTAACAGCACAGCTTTGATACTGCGGGTTATGAAAGAGGTCTGCGTCTAAGCACTGGTTGAGCAATTCGCCCATCCGCACCAGCCAACCCTCTTCCCCATATCTAACTGATATACCAATCTGGCGATGTGGAAATGCTTCAGCTAGAACAATGGCAGGGGTGAAAATCTCAACGCAAGCTTTGCTTAAAGCTCCCTCACGCATAGCAGCGACCGTATCTTCCCCATTGAAAACCTCATCTGAGAGCGTTTCGAGGACGAAGAGGACAAATTCCTTGTGCACAACAGAGCCAGGTAGGTTCCAGAGCCGCACGAGAAGCTCATCCATATCAGTCCAGTCCGCAGCCCAGCTTCTCTTTGCGATGTCCACCCATAACTGCGCAGTCTTGTTTCGCAGATACAAAGGGTCCTCCGGGGAAATATTCTGCGAGAGTTGCAGAACCCATTCCCTCAGTGTAGTCGCCTGCTCCACCGAGTATTCCGCCCACTTGTGTCTGATCGCATGCTCGAGGAGGGAGAGGGCGTAGTGGCGGACGACAGGCTGCTGGCTTTTGTCGGATGCCAGTGTAAAGCCATGGTATGGTGCTTCATCGTTGGCTTTTAAATCTTCGAGGAACAAAGAGGCTTGCCGACGTGATTCATTGGAGGCATGGCCATGTACAATATTGAGAGCTTCGTGGATTTGAGGCAGTAAGCTTGTGTTCCCGTTCAGCTGTACGCTCGTGTCCGCCCCAGTTGTACTATGCCCATTCGTGGAGCCGTTCATGATGCTAAATTCGGGCTACTATTGAGCACACAGGAAGGCTCCTCCGCAGATGCCAATATTGTTGACTTGGGCTGTATTCAAAATAGTCATCCAGCTGTAGGTATGTAACCTACCTAGGTAGTTTGAAGGCGGGCGCCTGATCCTTAGATCGCTGAAGAACTCGGGAGAGTAAGAAGAATCTAGAGGGCTTCTTCCATGAGAGGAAGACTGGAGTATTATGAGACAATCCTTAAATAGCAAAGGCAATCTGTGTATGTTGTTCGTAGAAGAAGGTGGTTGTGGATTTCTCCCGTACTTAGAAAGTTATCTTTGTCTCAAGCTCAAGGCTGAAGTCGCGAAGCTTTTCGCGTGCAAGGCTAGCCAGTGGAATTCAAGAACAAGCCCGAGGCCCCTAGAAGGAGTTTGAGAACATCACACTAATGTAGCGGCATGCATGCGCTACATAATTGAATCATATATGAGGTTTGTCAGTCTAATAATGACTTCTAAACAGTTCTATTTCCATTTTTATTTGCACTGAACGTTTAGATTCAAAGGTTCAAAAATTTAGTATGCAATACCACATTTTTGTAGCCTCACTGATCCAAGACGGTGCAGATGATATTAGAGATAAAAGCCTTACATGAAAGATGAGTGGTAAAGGCGAGCGAGTTATAATCTTTGATTAGTTTGGACTACGACATGTAGAACTACCTAGTGGTAGTTCTATTGAAATGTCGCATGCCTTAAGTAGGTAGGTATGTTTGAGGCTCTAAGGTAGGCGCTTTTAGCCTTGCGATTTATCAATTCCTAACATTAAGCTCGGTTTATACGCTTTGTAAATTGATATATCCATCTAAACAAGCACTGTACAGCTAAGCTATTTACAGACTCGGATGACCACAAGTCATCTAATCCTGCAATGAACGTCATCCTAGCTGCCATAACAAAATCGCAATGCTCAATGCGCCGGTAGAATGCAAAGTCGTCGTCTCGTATCATGTTCATTTTTTACATGACGCTGCATTTAGTTTGCTGGCATTGGTCCAGATAACCTTCTTCTTCTTCCTTGCCTAGCCTCATGTTCTGTCTTTGTACACCTTTGACTCTAATTGAGTGCTCGCCGTCCATATGCCACCACCTGAGCGTTTGAATGAAGCCACCATCTGAATCATCTGTGCTGATGGTCCACTTGCCCCCTGTAACCTCAACTTCGCACTGGTCTTTGGGGAAATGAAATTCTGGTAAGAATATCTCGGTCGGATGATCCTCAGCACTAGCCTTATGTGCGTGGAGGCGGAGTGTGAATATGCAATTTCGGAGATCGAACCCATGATTGAGGATCTTGCCCACGGTAGAAATCGGAGATGGTCTGACGTATGCTTCGGCCGCACGAAATCCGGGCGCACTGGTAAGCTCTGGCGGTTTGTCCGTAGCTTCTGATGAGATTGAAGGTGTCTTTAACTTGGCCTTTAGATTTCTAGGGTTCACAGTAGACTCATTAGAGAAACCTATCTTCGTACTCGGCCCCTCCAAAGTTGTCGTCGAATCGTTGCTGGGCGTGGGAGGGACTGGAGAGAGTGGAAGTAGCCTGTCATCCACCGAGAAAATAGAGAGATCTTCTCCATTCCATTGATCTCCCAAATGGTGTTTATTCTGGCAGATTTAGCAAATTGTAGCCATGAGTTAGATTTACAAACGTACCTCAGTCATGTATAGCCACAGAGTATATCCTGCCATGGAACTGCCTTCAATGGCATAATGATTTGCGTCCATAGCCCCTGACTGACTCGAGTAATCACCCGTCTTATATGCATATTTATCGTCCATGTCGTAGGGTATTCCAAATTCTGTCAGGATAGTCGGATGATTACCCATGTAATCAAGCCCTTCCTGCACAATGGCCGATAACTGATCCTTGAAACAGTTTCGAATTGCAGTCTCTCCAATCTTGACCGCAAATGCGGGGCTCATGTATCTCCCTCGAAGGACACCAAGAACATCGACATTCCAATACCGATTCCATTTCTTAGTCATGAGTGTCAAACCGTCGTAGTAATGTGGCGCATAAACCATTTTCGGGTCATCATCTGCGGTACCTTTAATGGAAGGAGGAATCTCCAGCACAGGCGGCTGACAGAACAAAATACAATCCTTGTGTTGAGCTCGGATAGTATCTCTGAATTTCCTGTAAAATTCCATGAAATAGATGTTTGTGAACTGCTCATAGTCGAGAACTTCCCCACGAGGATTCTTCTTGAAGTAGTTTTTCTTCAGCAATGTGTCAGTGCTTGGGTCCCAGACTCCATGTTGCGCCCAGACACATTCTCCTAACTTCCATCCAGGGTCCCGTTTGTAACCGTATCTAGAATCATCGTAATCTGCTGGAAGCCAAGCACTTTCCCCTTGAGGATCCACGAGAACCCTTCCAGACTTGTACGGGCCCATCCCTCCAAAATCCCAAGTATCAATTTCGCATACCCTTCCCGAGCCAGTCAACATAGCTTGCCACGCTGTTGGTGACGTACCTTTTTGCAGCTTCTGCTCAGTTGGAATGGTTGAGAGATCGGACCAGCCTACCAAGCCCCGATTAGGCTCATTCATGCTTTCCCAGCCAATAACAACATCATCCTCCAGATCTCCAGCCTCATGTATCCGTTTTGCGAGATGACTGCAGGCATCGAGGTAATGGTCTCTCAAATAATCTTGTATGTTTTTGCCATCGATGATGCATTTGGGAGCGAAGTCTCGTCCAGCAAAGAAGAACGTAAATATCGTTTGGCATGCCAGTCGAGTATAATTTGTTGACCAGATCATCTTGGGGAAGGTTGCAGGGTCAGGGTACGTGTTGTGCACTAATGCAGCCTCCGTAGCTGCGAAGCTTTGGGGGTTCAACCCACAGGCATAGAGAGTCCACATTGGAGCACCGGATCCTCCCGAGAATCTTGACCACTATTTGCACGTCTATTAGCACTATATTTGGGTTGATGGGGAGTTAACTTACCACATCCTGATGAGGATCCATGAATATATAGAACCCATAGTCTTTTGCCAGTCTCAATATCTCGATTGTATGTTGAATCCATTCCTCATCATATACACCTGGCCTTGATGGCTCAATCGCCTCCCACGTAAAGACGTATCTGATGGTATTGTATCCCCACCGCTTCAAACGTGAGAAATGTATATGCGCATCCTCGCGGGGAAATGGACGAGTATGGAAGTTAACATTGTCTCCATCGAAGAAGTCCTCTGGGATGTGGGAGGGTTGGTCCGGGTTGCTTGGGTATTTGGCATCTCCAGCTACGTTGATACCTCGAAGAGTGATCTGTCGTCCGTGGGAGTCTCGGAAGAGACCATCCTCGATTGTAAGTCGCAGGGGCGACATGGTGTTCAAAGAACAGGAACGATGCCCAAAAGTCGAATGTTCTAAGGAGTTGTAAGTCCTTTGTAGCTCTGGACGGGAGATCAATCCCGAGGGAGGTCACCTTGCCAGCACTTCAAGTTCCACCGGGTCGCTGATGTAGCGCAATGGCTCGGTATCAATGACGAGGCGACTGTACGAGGTACTGTATCACAAAGCCTCTGGGGCTCACTTACGGTCGTTTGCTACTGCATAGATGCAATGGTTGCGGGCGCAGATAGCCGGTGAACACAGCAAGCACAGATTCAGACACTATTACCCTCAAAGAATATGGAATATAGAGTAATTGGGTGGTCACTGGTGAAGGTAGATCGCTGTACTCCGTACTGTTGAACGATAACCTGGGGGGGATAGAAAGTCTCGGGAGACCTTCAATGATGCCCCGGCTGACGATTGCAGGGATTCTGCAGCCGTGTCAACGCGCTAAGATCGGAGTAACACCAGTGGAATACAAGACAAGGCTGTACTGTACTGTACGACCTTAAAATAAATTGTCCATCAACACATCCCATGCTCTATTCTGCCTAGGTAGCTAAGGTATGCCAGGTATCAGTCCATCTACTGAGTTATGTCTGGAGCAAAGGCAGCGCTGAAGGCCATTGGCGCCTCCATAAAGGCTCAAAAATACGATGATGCTATTCAAGAGGCCCAAAAATTGCTCGCAACAGACTCCAAAAATTACCAAGCGTGAGTGCACTCCTCTTAAGGAACTCTGGAATTATTGTTGCAAATTTTATTGATTTTTGTAGCACACTTTTCCTCGGATTCGCCCTCAGCAAACAGAACAAGTACTCGGAGGCTGAGAAGGCATACGATGCCGCAACCAAGATCAAGGATTCCGACCCCCAGGCATGGCAAGGGCTCATACAATTGTACGAGAAGCAAGGCAGCGAGGCCATTGGTCGGTATCAAATGGCGGTCTTGAAGCTTGCAGCAATACATGAGACCAAGGACGACAAATACAAATGTCAAGATGTAGTTGACAAATTCCTCGGTTTCGCAAAGAACCAAGGCACACGGCTGCAGTACAAGAAGTCTCAAGAGGTCATACTGCCTGATTCCCCAATATACGGCTACCTAGAAGGACGAGTCCCACATCCTGCGCATACTTACCAGATCATGGCCACGATCACAGAAGTCGAGGAAAGGGACCGCATCAACAAGGATATTGGAGAGCGAAGAACTCGGCTTGGAGCGAAGATCGGACAGGTCACACTGGAAGTCAAAAGGGAAGTCTTGAAAGACAGCGATTTAGAAGACTTGTATGATAAGATCATTGATTGGAGCAATGACGATGAAGTCCGACGCCAGTACGAAGAAAAGCTTCTTCAACGATGTCTCGAAGCTCTTACTGTGCTTCCTCCAGGTCAAGAAAAGACTCAGAAACGTGGCAAGGTCATGAAGTTGGCTAATGACATGGTAATAATTAAGCACCCTTACAAAACGGCATGGGATATAGCACTGGAATGGAAGGATCCCCAGAGCATTCAAGATCTAGATGCAAACATTTTGCGCGAATACTACTGGTTCTTCCCCGCCAGTGGGCTAGGACAAGTTCTGCGAGGGTTCATGAGCTGTGAAATATCTCCGTTTCCAGCACCCCCACCGCCTCCGCAGCAAAGTCGAGCACAAGGAGCTGACACAGTGTCTGATGATAGCGAAGACGATGATGATGGAGGTGGAGTCGCTCTTGATAGTAGTGCATTGAGCGCAGATGAACGTCTACTTTTGATGACGGACGGAATATCAGAATCTGGGAAGTCCATTTTAGCCCATCGCCTAATGGGAGAGTACTATCAGTTTCTGGAAGAGTACGAAAGTGTGGTGGATTTGATGCGCAATGGGCAAAGACTAATTACAGAGGAATCCAATAAAACAGGTATAAAGTTTGATCATTCTTCCGAGTCTTTTACCGCTCTCCTCGGCACAGCACTGGTCTTCTACCAGTCCCCCAAGAACCATCCGGAGGCTAAGACAATATTTGATAGGCTTCTAGCCCAAAATCCAACTTCAACCCCTGCTTTGATTGGTATCGGGTTGATTTACGAAGAAGAGGAGAACTATCCCGCGGCTGTAGATTTCCTCGGTCGTGCTCTCCGGAGGGATGCCAGTAATATTCGTGTCAAGACTGAAGCTGCTTGGGTCAAAGCACTCAGTGGCGACTTTACCCAAGGAAAGGAGGAATTGGAGGATTGTCTGGCGAAGATGGATAGCAAAGATGTTCGATCCAAAGACCTAATTGCTCTGACACAACATCGAATTGGCATATGCCTTTGGAATATTGATCCTTCGAAATCCGCGCGGAAAGACAGGGATGGTGCTTATTCGTATTTTCTTGCAGCTCTAAAAAGCAACCTCAGTTTTGCCCCTGCCTACACCAGCTTAGGGATTTTCTATGCCGATTATTCAAAGGATAAGAAGCGAGCTCGAAAGTGCTTCCAGAAGGCTTTCGAGCTTTCAGCTTCTGAAGTACACGCAGCAGAGCGATTAGCCCGGATATTCGCTGAGCAAGGCGAATGGGAGCTTGTCGAGGTTGTTGCCCAGCGCGTTGTAGGCTCGGGGAAGGTACGGCCCGCGCCAGGCTCGAAAAAGAAAGGCATCAGTTGGCCATTTGCCGCACTCGGGGTGGCAGAACTGAACAAGCAGGATTATGCCAAGAGCATCGTCTCGTTTCAATCCGCACTCCGCACCGCACCGAACGACTATCATTCTTGGGTCGGTCTCGGAGAGAGCTATCATAACTCTGGCCGTTACATTGCGGCTACGAAAGCCTTCCAACATGCAGAAAAGTTTGAGCTTGAAGTTGAGCAGCGGAACTCTGGCGAGACCTGGTTTGCGAAGCACATGCTGGCAAATGTCAAACGAGAACTGGGTGATTATGACGACGCAATTGTAGGATACAAGGCTGTGCGTGCGGAACGTCCTACAGAATTCGGCGTATCAATTGCTCTCATCCAAGCTCTTGTTGATAGTGCTTGGGATGGAATCGACAAAGGTCTCTTTGGATATGCTGCTCAACGCGCTGTCGAGACTATCGATGCAGCTCTTGAGCTTGCTGAAAGTGGCGTGGAGGCTTTCAACCTGTGGAGAGCAGTTGGAGATGCTTGCTCTATCTTTTCATGGGTGCAGAATCGCTTGGAGGATTATCCTCCCCACAAGATCAAGCGCTTGCTACAATTACGAAATCAGAGAGAAGCTTACGAGATCTTTGCCGACGTAGACTTGGTCAGCGTGGGTGTTGTCTTTGCAGACGGACTTTTCCCCAAAGATGAGCAAGATGGGGTTAATCTGACGAGATGCCTGCATGGGGCCATTCTCGCGCATAAAAGAGCAATACATGCGTCCGCTCACGATATCCACGCTCAAGCTGTTGCTTACTATAATCTAGGCTGGGCTGAGTATCGAGCTCATGTCTGCCTCAGCGAAGCTATCAAGAGGAAGTCAACCTCATACCAAAAAGCAGCTGTACGGTGCTTCAAGCGAGCGATAGAGCTGGAAGCGGGCAATTCCGAGTTTTGGAATGCCCTGGGTGTTGTCACAAGTGCACTTAGTCCAAAGGTTGCACAGCACTCGTTCGTCAGAAGCCTCTTTTTGAATGAGCGAAGTGCGCAAGCGTGGACGAATCTTGGGACTCTTTACATCTTGCAGAACGATCTCATGCTCGCAAATGAAGCGTTCACTCGAGCTCAGTCAAGCGACCCTGATTATGCGCACGCCTGGATCGGTCAAGGACTTTTGGCCCTGCTGATAGGTGGTGACACTAAGGAGGCAAATCTCCTCTTCACACATGCGATGGAAATATCCGAATCTTCATCTCTAATCACCAAGATGCAATATTCTCAATCTACGTTTGACCAGATTCTTGCGTCTGCAAATGTCTTGAACATTGTGGATTTGGTGCAGCCATTATTTGCCCTCAATCAGGTACAGTCCATGGCACCTAATGATCTGATGTACGGGCATTTATCCACTCTCTTCTTGGAGCGGATCAATGATGTTTCTACCGCGGAGGCTTCGCTATCAGAAATTTGCTCCATCGTTGAAGCTGATTATGAAGTCACTGAATCACCTGCATCGCTGTCTCGATTTGCGCTAGCCAAAGCAGATCTGGCTCGATCACAATTATCGGCAGGTTCATTTTCTGAGGCCATAGACAGCGGTGAAATGGCATTGCAACTCAGCGCTGAAGATGCTGGAAACGAGCTATCGGCAGAAGCACGCCAGAAATGCAGGCTATCTGCACATCTTACAGTCGGCTTGGCACACTACTATGTTCAGCAACCAGAAACAGCATTGGAGTACTTCCAGCCGGCTCTTGAGGAATCGAACGGAAACCCCGATGCGGTGTGTCTGTTGGCACAAGTTCTTTGGGCTAAGGGAGACGATGAGGCTCGAGGAAAAGCAAGAGATGTTCTCTTTGACTGTGTTGAAAGCCATCCAGACCATGTTCAATCCGTATTGCTTCTCGGCATCATCGCAATACTAGACCAAGACACGGAAAGTCTGGAGGCTGTGTCCTCCACACTCCAGGAACTACGCACCACCGCTTCGATCACGGACCGAGAACAAGCGCAAGTGAGCGAAATCCTTCGTGCGATTGCCGCTTTGTCCGGAACCGATTACCATCAAGCGATGCTTGCTGAGATTCAAACCGATGTGTTTCTTCATCCCAGCCAACCGCATGGTTGGAGCCGCCTGGCTGAGCTGGGAGAAGATGAGTATGCTGCGGATGTGGCGTTGAAGACGGCGATTAAGGCTGTGCCACCGCATGGAGATCTGGATGCTGGGGAATTGGCAAAGGCGTTTGCTGGGACTGGAAAAGTTGGGGATGCACAAAAGGCGGTTATGCTTTCGCCTTGGGGTAAAGATGGTTGGGATGTATTGGGTGGTGCTTTGGCTGCGAGGGAATGGGAAAAGTGAAGCGGATCATAGAGGATGACTGTCCAATGATTTATATTTATGATTGTAATGTATGAAGATTCCCAACAAGTACTACAAATCTGGTTTCCAAGGGCAAGGGTCAAGGTCTACCACTCTCAAGTGAGTCAATTCCCAATGCCCTTCATCGTGTCGCTTGCTCAGAATTCCATCAGGTCCCATGCTCACAGTTCAGAAAAGAAAAGAGCTAATCTGATGCCGCAAGGCAGCGCCTGAACGGGGCCGCTACATGAATGCTGCGAACCACAACGACTTCCATGAAGCTCCGTCACACTCAACCAGAAAATACCTCCCAAAGCAAGTGGCAGCCAACGCCGCAATTATCATCGAAGCCGATTTGTCCCTACCAATGCGAACTGCATCGGTGAAAATGCGCCAATATCTGTCCTTCTAATCGCCTCAACTCAACTCAACTCATACCAGATCTCATGAGGTACTGTACATATAACGTGATAGTATGGGGCTCGTGTCGCTACAGATACTCGCCAGCTATGGGCTCTGGGGTTGAGACGAGCCTGTGTAACGTCTCCAGCCTAGTCTTGAAGTATGCCTTGCGCCAAAAGGCGCCCGACCACTATGAGCTTACGACTAACGTACATGGTTTTCCCTGCTTTTTCCTAGTCTTCTCCTCATCTTCCAAAAAATTTGCAAATCATTTTTCTGCGTACAAGACGGACTCCGCCCTCCGCCTTGTGGCTCACCGAGCCAATACTCGAACACAGCCTGAGAAGTTCTCGGGTGACAGTGACTAGATTTTCCTCCTGATTGCGCGCCTGAGTTTCAAAGTTCGCGTCGAAGTAACGTTCAATTTCAAGCTGAAATTCTGTCTATATGTGGTATATTTCAGAGTAGTTTAATTCCCTCTCAATGCCTAGTTTACATTGAAATAAAAATTTCGTCATCTCTGCCCACCTCCAAGGAGGGATGCCGAATTGCTTGCAATCATGGGGCAGCAGGTTAGGCAAATCAAAAGTTGGGCTGCTATCAACACCCAACAAGTGATGTTGTGCCGGCTTGTCTGATATGGAATCATTTACCGAGAATGCCTCGTGCCACGCAACTGCGGGTGTGGTAAAATTTTCACCGAGGTGACCACTTTTGGCTTTTATACTGGGCTAATATAGACAATGGCCATATCCCTCCTTTGAGTCTATCCAATCTCTTCTCCCGTTGTTCCAAACTCACTTCTCAATTGTCCTTCAATTCCACCCCGATGCCCAACCATCCCAATCAATTTTGTTGGCGGTTGTTTACTGGCTATACCACATAACACGTTGTAATACACACAAGCATTGCATTCCTACCCAGCAAACCATGGCGAGATTTGTTGGGCCCATCTATTCAGGACGAAGCAAGCATTCTGCGGGATCGTCCGCGCGTGGACATGACTGTACGCACTGTGATAGGAAGACCTTCAAACGCAGCAAGGCTGTTGGGGAACCTAAATACTGCGAGAGACGTAAGTTGATGTCCAGAAGACTGACAAGATATCGGTAAGTAACATCAATATAGATCAGTGCGCCATCGTGGACAGCGCAGGGTCCCTATGCCGCCGACCTAAAGAACGCAAAGACTCATATTGCGGGCGTCGTAAGTTGAAACTCGCCACTTTTGGTTCACAGGTGCTGATGATACTGTACAGATTTATGCGAAACATCAGGTTGTGAGGAGCAAAGGATTCCAGATGAGCTTGATAATGCCCACTCTCACTGCTTGAATCGTATGGACCTGTCCCCATCTCTTGAAATTTAGATTGCTTGCTGACTTGTGTGATAGACACTTGTGTTTTCCCCGGCTGTTTGGAAGAAAAAGATCAAGCTTATAGAGAAAATGCTAATCTCGATCTCTGTACCACACGTAAGCCCCCGGATTCAGCACCGATGTCTCATCTTTAGAGTAATCTAACCATGCTCTGATGTCTTAGATTCTAAAGAGTTCTGCGCAACCTCGGAGTGTTATGAGAAGAGAGTTGATACGGGATGTTACTGTTTCGAACGTAAGATCGAAGCCCCCTATGTTCGACCCCCAGCAACTGACTCTGGTAGACAATTGTCGCATAATCGGATGCCACTTCGGAGTTGTCAATGCCAGTCGACAATTCTGCTCTAGACGTGAGTTCAAATGAAAGACCTAAAGCTTTCGGATGCTGATGAACATTCAGATAACTTATGTGAAAACGAGAAATGCAAAAAGGAGAAGAGCAGGGTTGGAAGTCGAGTCCAAAATGTCTGTGAAGATCGTAAGTGATGGCCAATCATAGCAGGGTCGAAGCCGCTTGCTAAACGCAACTAGACTTGCAGTGTAGCATAGAGCTATGCTCAAGAAATTCCTCACCTGGGTCTCCTTACTGCATTTTTCGTGCGTCTCTAATACTCCATGTCTTCATTTTGCAGCACTAATAACAACATTAGATTCATGCAAGTATCAGAATTGTCTCAACAAGGCGAGACTTGATATTGGGAACCCCTTTTGTAAAGCGCGTAAGCCTCATTCCTCCCTTCCTAGCATAATTATGCCTAACCAAATATCGATTCAGACAGATGTGAAAGTTCTGATTGCCGAGCACTGAAGAATCATACGCAGGTGGAAGTCCACGACGTCTCACAGTTGAAGCTTCATAAATTTTGCGATCTGCGTGAGTCTTTCCTTTCCTTAAATGTGCTACTGCTTATGGGACCATTAGACAAATGTAAAGTAAAAGGATGCACAGACGAGAATAAATTAGAAAAGGGATACTGCGAGAAGCGTAAGCGACAACCTAGCCTTCCAAACCCGATTGAAAAGCTGACGAGTCCATAGATTGCTGTATCGAATCGAGCTGTAAGCAGCAAGGAGAGGCAAAGCACAGATGTTTCCCACGTAGGTCATAACCTGCAACTTCATACTCGCCGACGTGGGCTGATCCAGTGCTAGACCACGACGAAAAGATCGCAAAGGACACCAAAAAGTCCTGGAGCGCAGAACACGAAGCAGCGAAAGCCAAGATTCAGGCAGACGAGCAGCGTCGGCATGAACAAGAGAAGACGACGCCACCTCGAGAACATGCAACTACCGCACCATCAAGAACTGGACAACTGGGAGGGAATTATCAGCGATGGAGAGACAATGATGGTTATGGTGAGCCAAGTAGTAATGGCTGGTAAATGAAATCAAACTGACTCTTGGGAAGACTCAGGGGTTGGGAGCTATGGCAGGTACGATAAATTTTGGAACGAAAGGAATGGATTCTGAGCGTACGAGGCTCTTTTGTGCACGATGGGCTTTCCTTCTTCTTCTTCTTCTTCTTCTTCTTATCTTCGTCCTTGTCACTTTAGAAGCTGTAGCTTCTATTGTATCTGTTACCTTCGAACTTGTTTTACTTATATTTTCTTGTAATAATTTCCCATGGGAGGGTCAAATTATGTCGCAGAAGGGAAGGAGGGGCGTCGACAGGTTGTGGACTTTGCATTCCGGCGTAGACTTTAACGGGAGCTGTAGGATCGTACGAAGCTGTTTTGTGGTTAAGAAATAAGCAGACTCTGATGGATCGATCAAAATGTCTTTAGGGAAATTTGAGGATGGCTTGGATTCGGGGATTGATTGCTTAGTACCTGTAACATCATAGAGCTGTGTTGAATGAAATCCCAGAATTCCACGACGGATCATCAATACTACTTTCGAGCAGTCCTTGTTGTTGAAGTCATGTTTTATGAAGAAACTATTGTACGGTTTTCCTATATGGAAAACCCGATAGAACTCTGATACTTGGGAAATACAGCCACAACTCTATCTCGATTGCCCTAAACACAAGCTGGATTTATCCTAAAGTACTGAAGGGCAATCTGGCAGTATAAATCTTTTGAATTTGTTGGCACAACTAATCTAATAGAGGAGATAATGATACAGTTCCTGAGAGGAGATCTCTACTCATCTTTCAACGCCTACCCGGATGCCCATATATCCACACGCTATGTAAATGCCAAAGCTCCACCCATATTCGAACACATCCCACATATCACATCAAATACATCCATTTAATCACACCTTCCATCCTTCCACCCCGTCCGCCACCGTTCCTCCCACTTGGCGCAATCAAACTCCTTCTTCCCCAGCTTCCGATTAACATCATTATGCGCCTCACACATCCACATCCCGAACTCATCCCTACTCTCCGCCCTCACCTTGTTCCGCTCCATAAACACCTGGAAGTCCTCCGCGCAAACCCAGCATGGATAGAGCTTCCCGAATAGCCCGAGGAACTGCTTTACATTGCTCTGGTCGTTCGCCGTGGGAGCTTCGGGATACGTGGCCGTGATCGAGTGTAGTAGGGTCCAGGACGAACGGCCTAGCTCTTCCACGTCTGGCGGACATTCTTTCGGGGGCGCCGAGGGCTTCGTGATGGATTTCCTTTGCGAGGTGAAGTCGGCCAGTGAATTACACGTCCGACACCTTCCAACGATCAGCACCAGGCGAAGATTTCCGAGTTTGCAGAACTCACGGTTTCCCATCTTTCCCTAACACAATTCCCTTCTTTCTTGGGGGTTTGGCATCACCAGCAGATGTGGGAGGAACTGTAGTTGTAGTTGTGCCACCTGAACCACTTTCCTGGTTTTCTTCTGTCATTATTATCTTTCCCAGACAACTTTTATGTGACTGTGTGCAAATCCAAACGCAAATTCAAATGCAAGAAAAAAGAATGTAGATTGTACATATGGTAAAACTTAGTAGTGGAAGCTTTGTAATGCGGTTGAGCCGCGGCCCCCTAGTCGGCGGGGCACTCCGCTCGGAATTTAAACTTCTCTAGCACCAAAGGCTATTGAGCTACTGTATGACGACGAGGAGGATCCCACTGCGATGATGCGACGACGGCGATATGGGTACGACTGAAGGTGCGAAAGAAAAGACATCGGTTCTATTGCTGAAGACCAAATCGATACCAAATGATGGGTACAAGGAGCAATTCGAGTCCACGAAGGAGGGGACACAATTCGAGCCGGTCTTCGTCCCCGTGTTGGAGCATCAACTTTTGGAGGAGGGATTGAAAATTATAAGAGATGCTCTGCGGAACAAGGAGATTAGCAGACAAGCTGCTGCAAAATATGGAGGGTTGATATTTACGTCTCAGCGAGCTGTGGAGGCATTTGCGAAGCTGGTTGAAGAGGGGCAGGGTATTTTATCTACTCTTCCAGGCCCAACAAGTCACTAATGAAATGTATTTCAGATGTCGATAGCTGGCCGCATTTACAAGATATCCCAATATACACAGTAGGACCCGCAACATCTCGAGCTTTACGGTCAATTCCTCAGACCCCTCCCCTCAATATATTCGGTTCCGAGACGGGCAATGGTGAGGCATTGGCACATTATATGATAGATCATTATGGGAAATGGTACCAGGACATGGAAATCAAGCCTCCGCTATTGTTCCTCGTGGGAGAGCAAAGACGGGACATCATACCGAAGACTCTGATGAACCCCACCTTACCCCGCGATCGAAGGATACAAGTCGATGAGCTTGCCGTCTACGGGACCGGCGTGATGGAGTCGTTCGAGAAAGACTTTAGTAAGCTACTGAAAGAGACAGAGAATAAACCCATGAGATGGGTTGTTGTCTTTTCGCCCACTGGGTGTGAGGCTATGCTGCGAGCTTTGGGTATGCTTGACCCAGAGACCGGTAAGGTCAAGGCCGAGCACCAGCGAGACGGAAAGACTCATATTGCAACTATCGGGCCTACGACTAGGGACTTTTTACAAACCACTTTTGACTTCGAGCCAGACGTTTGTGCGGAAAAGCCGAGTCCTGAAGGAGTGGAAGCGGGAATAGAGTCATTTCTGAAGGAAAGAATTTGAAAAGCTTCAAACTTGCTTTTGTTCCAAAGTTCCTTGCGCTTCATACAGAGTGCATGTGCAATAGTCACATTCACTGAAAGTTGTAGAAACATATGACAAAGGTTCAAAAATCGAAGCTCATTCTTAGACTGACCTCCAGGGAACCGGCTACCCCAACGACTGTAAAGATCAGCAGCCTGGTATTGCAAGCTGCAGTGACCACCTTTGAACCATCAAGCTGGAGCTTGCAGTTTCCGAAAGTCGCACTCGTGCTCTTGTCAAATCCGATCACAAAATATATTCCTGTTATACACGATACAGCTGTAAGGAGGCTCTTTATATATCGATCCTTATGTCACATTTCAAAGAACACGAGACATTTGACGTCACTATTGCCATCAAAACATACCTTGGAATATCAAATTAGTCGACGCAACCTTATAAAATGACACTCTCTATTCCCCTTATTTGGTTGGGTACTGCCATGGCTGCAAATACAACTCAACCGTCAGATGAAACGGGCCCAGCACCAGGCAAAAACCACCTTGCGAACAGCAGCAAATATGCCCGAGAACATCTAGCACTGATAATCCTCTTCATTACTGTTGCCATGGGTGCATGGGTTTCCTGGTGGCGTGTGTGGTATCAAGGCGTCGTCAAAAACGCGTCGCCAAGATCGAGAGTGTTTAGGACGTTGACGTTGGGAAGAAGTCAATCACAGGTGTCCATATTCCCTCCTTCCAATCACAGGTATCCCTGTGATTGTGTTTTAACTAGAAGCATGATCCCGTTACGAGAATCCGCCTTCGCCCTGCCGTATAAGTAGACTTGTATTCCCGAATAATACTTTCAAGCAACAAGCTCATCCTACCTACTAAGCGTTACCGAAAGACCCTTTCCCAGCAAGCTCTAGCAGTCAGCAGCATCAACTCACATCGTACACACAACTTTCATTCGGCGAACAAACACACAATGAATACCATTACCAACATCCTCTTCACCCTCCTCGCCTACCTCTCTCTCATCGCCGCTCACCCGTCACATGCCCGCCATTACACGTCCTCTGCACACCTCGCTTCGCGCTCGGTCTTAGGAGAAGACCCCAAGCATTTCTGGATCGGCTTTGGAGTTGGCTGTATCTTTGTGCCGCTCCTCGGACTCATTGGATGGCTTGTGGTTGGGAGACTCAAGAAGGTATGAGTGAGGAACATTAGGGTCTGAAGGACTTGGAAATTTGGGTTCACGATAGTGGTGGGATAGCTTCGGTATACATCTTCATATGGCTTTTTTGAAACTCGTGTTCTTGTTCTTGGTGAGGGTTCTCGTGGGTGCAAGTGCAGACCAAGGCTCGTTGGCCAATTGCCTAGTGAACTCTATTGTTTCTTTGATATTACTTGAATCCAAGCCCGAATCATTAAGCCACAGCAGTGAGTCGATCTCTGTTATTCATTAAGCGTCGTTCTCTCATTCTAGCTATTCACCTTTCCTTTACCCCCCAGTATTCCGAAACTACATTCCTGATTGGAATTGAAGTTGGAAACTCATCAAAAAAATTACCAGCTCTTGCCAACCACCGCAATTATTCTCTCATTAAGGTGTTAAGACGAAGCCTATCAGGAAGGGATGATGGGATATGGCACGGGCACCGACCAGGACAAAAGGAAACAAAAAAAACATACAACAGCAGGTATTCGCTGGTGGTCACCCACCCAACTACTAATCTGCCGATCTAAGGCTTGTGTATGGCAGAGCGGACGGGATGCCCAATGTTCCTTAGTCTATGGTCGTATGTATCAGACCTTTCTGCTCTTTCAAAATATATAGGAGGAGCCTAGAACATGGATTATCAACGCCGGTCCAACCAACACGTCCACGTCGCTCCGAGAAAGCATTATACATCAGCTCTCCTACAATTCCCACTCGGGAATGCCTGCTTCAACCTCGCAAGCAAGCTCATCTGCTGGAATGGACCCATTCCAAAATATGAGTCATACTGTCATTGACAGTTATATCGAGCTCGACAGCTCATGGGTCACTGTCCTGTGTCGAGCCACTCGATTTCAACATTACTGTTTCTCATAAAGACATTCGAAGAAGCCGTTTTGAAACAGAATACTCCGAGATGGTGGCTAAAGCCATGGATGACGATGATGAGGAAGACCATGATGTATTGTGTGAATGGATTGTGGACCCATGCCTTCCATACTTCCGTGAGAATACATCGAACGTCCCCAAAGAAATCACCTTCAAAGATTTTTATTACCCACCGACTCATCATTTGCAGCTGTTGATGTTGGGATCCTCACTTTATCCCAAGGGCACTCGAGATCGCGGGACTATGGATGCTTTCCGTCTGATGATACCGTCCCGAGACCTTCCACCTTTCTCTGAAGTTCCTCGTTCGAAAGCATCGGATCTTCGAATCGTTTCGGATACACAATGGGACGATTATATGTCCGAGATACCTCAAAAAGCTATTCTTAGTGACGGTACTTCCAGGTTCTTCAAGCCTGCGGACGATAAGAAGCAACTCCTCAGAGAAGTCGATATGCATTTGCGTATTCGCCATGCCGGATTACAGGACAAAATCAAAGTAGCCAATCTACACAGCATCGTAGTATCTGACGACGCCAAGATGACGATCGGTCTTCTATTGGACCTCATACCTTCAACCGGCGACTCATTATATAGCCACAAGAACAGCGCGTTAGCTTCCAAGTATCATGCAAGGTGGAAGCAGCAAATTACAGCTACTGTTAAGCAGTTACATTCTCATGGTCTTGTGTGGGGTGACGTTCATCCGGGGAATATTGTCATTGATACTAGCTTTAACGCCTGGGTTGTAGACTTCGGCGGTGGGTCTATTGTGGAGTTGGTTCCGCGCAAGAAAGCAGGAACGAAGGATGGGGACTGGTATGGAGTTGGAAAAATCTTCGATGAATGGATATTCGAGAACAACAAAAAGACTTAGATAATCGCGCAGAGTATACAAGCTAGAAGAAGCGTCGTCCTCTCTCTTTAAAAGTTCTAATGGCCCGGATCCCCTTTTAACGGTTTCATATACCTATGAGCTCTTATGAGTAAGCTTCATTTGGCGGCCCCTACCTCTCTATTATTCTTGACTAGAGTTCATTACCGCACTTCTGACTTCTTTATTTCTTCTGAATTGCCACTCTTCCGACTGTCTAAGTGTCTCGAGTGAAGACTAGGGTTCTTTTGGGAATTCGCAAAGAAACTAGGGTTGGGGATCATTTTCACGAATGAGGGATGAAGAAGGGAGCGGGTGAAGGTGACAAATAGATGCTGAAGAGACATGTCGCCTCGCTTGAAGTCTGAATAGGGATAGAAGTAGCTTCGCTTATTTGGATAATTAAGAAACTGAAAATAGTATGCTGAAATGTGTAAGTCTTACTATGTAGCTAAATCTTAAATATGTTTTAAGTGGAATTAGTAAACTTGAATGCGGAATTTAGTATCTTGAATCCTGAATACAGTTCTGAACTAAGGCTTATGCTAGGTTATACGGTTGAGATAGCCCTCCCCAATTATCCTTGGTCTATGGTCGTATGTGGGAGGTAATCATGTTATTTGAATCTATATTCCATGATTCTGTCTGTCTAATTAATACGCAACCTTTGATTCGACCAGCCACTGGAGTGCTTAGGCCTTGCAAAGAAAGTTGCTTTTTTCTGCCCTCACCTATTTATATCGCAATGGGGGAAGCATTGAGGAAGAATATTGCATTCAAGTTTTCGGGCGATTGGAATTATTATTAATTTCGAGGTGGCTTTTCAGTTTGATAGTGTTTTGCCTTCTCGGGTCCTAGAGCCTAGATGATCGTCTGGCTTTATTACTTCTCCTGGCACGCACCATCTGCGAACAGTGGTTGAGCTATCCAGTACCTGCATTGATTGTAACTTCTTGATTAAGACACTTTCATTTATACGATATCCCGCTAAACACGTCCCCAAAGTAGATCTTAGACTCAACAGGCGTGGTCTCACAACGATGCGAGTGAGAGGTATGAAGTTCAATGGGACCACCTCGCCTCGGCCAGTCAATGGCCCTCATCCATGTGAACGGAGAACCTAAACTCAAGACGCACCCGAGCCTTGAAGCCTCAACTGGGCCTTCGGAAACATGTTCTAAGATGCGGTCTTGAATTTCCAAGGGGAGGTTGTGAATAGTTGTATTGAGGGGAGGCGGAGATAATGGGAGGGCTTGAAGGAGGCGGTTAATAGCGGCAGGAGAAGGCGGGGTGAGACCGTCCATGAGAGTTGTTGGGGCCGTATGTAAGAAATTGCCAACGGAATCAACGTGGCAGACCAATATATATCGTACCGATAAAAATACGTGCACTGCCTAGTGCGATTATCCGGATTTATGACCGTGCTGATCTTTTTTGCCTCGTTCTTCGCAATTTCTAGTGCGATCTTAAGGTTCTGGTTTATTATGACTGTGGCGCCTCCAATATTGAACAGGTGGCGATCGCAGGGCTCCCAAGATGGTATATCAAGAACGTCAACGTAGAATCCTCTAAATGGGGTGTGCTGCCTCGTGAATGCTTCATCGACTCAAAACTCGCACGTTGCTAAACTGACAATTGCCTTTGCGAGTCTCCGAAAGGTAGACTCTGCGTAAGAAGACCTGAGTATGTGGCGCCATTGTTCTGCAAAGTCTGAAAGAATGCGCGAAAGAAATGCAAGACGGCGTGCGGATATGGGGGTTGAAGGACTATGGTACGGTGGCGGAAACTCAGCGAGGTCCAACTGAGCAGGAGGTACTATTTCGAAAGGAGTGAACTCTTGTCGTTGTGGTTGCGGAGGCTTGCGTAGACGATCCAAGGGAAGTTGGATATGCCCACTCTCGTCAGAGTAACACAGGACGTCGCGATCGAGATTGAATGAACAAACAAAGGTAAGCAACTGGCGTTTGTCTCCGAAAGGCTTCACAACATCATCTTGCAAGATCCACTTTGTTGCTATTCCTTGGTGGAGAGCATCAAAAGCGGAAGCTAAGTAAAAAGGTGAGTGGATGTTCCGGAACGAGTAGTAAAGGTCATCGGCATACTCACCACCCTTCGATGTCCCCTGAAGAAGTCTATACGCTTTCCCGATAACGTCCTCAAAGCCTAAGATTCGTCTGGTGTATACATAGACGCGTCCTACAGACCACACCGAGTGAGCCTAAGGAATGGAGAATTAATTAGAGGAAGACGGTTGGGCGTACCTTCGAAAATTATCTGGAAGGTTGTCGACATCGTATCAGGTTTAATGAGGATTATATAATGAAGATCGTCAGATTCTCTGCAACTTAGATGCTTTAGTCTTGAGGGGTGTTGCCAGATGATAGGTAAGTACTGTGGAGGTGGCTTTCAGACCACATGATGGACGGACCATTAGGGCAGCTTAGTCATGCTTAAGGTTATATTATTATAGTATTCGTAGATCTTAATACAACCAAGTCTTCACCTTGAATCGAAATAACCCTGCCCTCAGTAGGTAGCAATGCACGGTGCAAGGTGATTGCGGGTGGTTAAGGCGGCTAAGCGCTAGGCGGTTGGCGGCAAGCCCCCCCACCCCGAGAGCGGAATGGTCTAGGTCAGTATTTATTTTGTCTCTATTTCACATTTGGATGAAAATACGTTTCACCTTCTCCACCAAAGCTTCCACAAGTCGAAGCAAGTCGACCAACATGACTCGTGAAATTGTCATGTTCTATGTCAATTTTGTTATCTTTCTCTGAGAAGAGCTGCGATCCGAGTTGGCGGGGTCCTACAGAGATCACGGCCCTTCAGCGGTTGCGTTGGTGGGGCAATTTATAGGCCTTATAGACTTCCCCTTGTTTGGATCACTATGGCAGCAAATTCTTCGTATAACCTCGGCCTGCTCAACGGAAATCTCTGGCGTCAGTGGTCGGATCCGAGTGGTCTTATATACTACCAAAATGTCAACACTCAAGTGACATCTTATCAACTTCCTGCTGGCTGGGAAGACCATGCAAACGTAAGTTACAAATAGATTTCTTATTATATACTTCGCTCCTCGGATTAAGCTACGACCTACGGTGTGTATTTCAACAACTGACTTTCATCTAACAGGACGTGTGGGCACTTGATCCAACCAAAGCTTGGCCACAATGGTAATAACCTTCAACCATCACCATGGTTAATACTAACAACCTGGGTTAAGGAACAATCAACGAACTCGCCGTGCACGCTTGGACGACCCCAACCCTCCACCCCCTGCAACCTATCTTGATGACCCCCACGTCACAGCCCGAGTCTCTGTTCTTGAAAGGACGCCGCAGTCCCCCGAGCTTTTATACAGGCGAGTGATGTGTGGAATTCTGCAATGGGTCTTTAGATCGAATGAGGGATTCTCCGTGCTGCAAGAAGGCATGGCAGCCGACTTACACCCCGATTTCACCGTTTTCAAGGTACTTCGGAGGCCTGGGGGCAGCTTGTACGAGTACGACTTCCTCGTAGGCGAGACGAAAGTCCCCGGAGAAGCTTGGGGCGCGTTTACGGACCATCTACACACGGTGTGCGCTAACAATAACAACGACTCGAAGAATGTTTATGGCTTGCTTCAAATTGGGTTTGAGATTCAGCTTTACAAGCATGAAAATCAGCGGTTCGAGGCCATCAGCGAGCGGATGCACTTGGTTAGAGACGTACAAAGTGTCATTGCTTGGTTCCAGCATGTCAAAGCGAGGCCAATGCCATTTTTGTGAGGAAAGATCTGACATGACGGGGCAAAATATGAATGACTGTTCACTATCTCGAGTGAAGCATTGTAAAGTAACGCGAGCAGCGCCAGCAGCACCGAGAATTTCGGTCACTAATAGTGTAACGAGAGTCCTGCAAGTATGCGTATTCCTTAGATGTAAGACTACAGGCGCTCGTGCTTGGCGCAGGTCTCCATCCCGCCATGGCTCAAGAAATCTTAGCTGTATGATGACCTCTTTAGAGCCAGGTATTTTATGCCGAGCTTTGCTTTCCGCAAAGCGTTCTAGCTCATGAATTTCTATTTTGACAACGAGTCGGCACAGAGGGCAGTTTATCCGCCGACGGACTTCATCGAATGTGCCAATGGACACGGTTCTGAATGGCTTGACTGGCCCAGAATCTCTGGATGATACAGGCTCTTTCGTATCTTCCAAAAAGTCTTCCAAACAGAGGTTTACTGATTTGCAAGCCTCGCATAGAGAATCGACCAAGCGGTCTGCGACATCATATCGGGCCGCGTTGGCTGTCTTTTCCTTCCGAAGGATATGGGACATGGCTCATCCACAAGTTGCAAAGAAGCTTGCTGGCTGAGTGGCTTGGTTTTAACGAGGAACATAAAGATTGTTGCTCATCGTAGCTTTTAGAAATGCTTTCGAGGCCCAGACAACTTCGTTCTGCAGACAAGAAAGTTGCACGAGGCCAGGTTGCAGACCCTGGCCTTGTCAGCTTGACAACATCTACAGCTTTCCATGATATTGAAGAGAATAGAAAGTCCTGTTCGGATAGGAAATTTAGTCGATATCAAAGATCTTGGATCTTGGGACTTGGGGGAAGCAAAAATTACAGAGAAGAAAGAACCGAGTGAAGGAAAGTTTACTTACCTTATGACGGGCAATCTTAGACTTTAGATTCATCACGTGATCTCGAAATACAGACCAGCCAGCCGCGTCTCCAAAGCTACCTGCCTGCCTTGCCATCAACACCTCCAAACCACAACTCCCTCAACATCACCACCATCCCCAAACCCACTTCTCCAAAATGGCGGAACGCGAACTTCAAGACATCCTACGGAAACTGAAATCCAGCAGTACGCCCTCACAATCCAAACCCCTCCTCTCATCCGCCAAACTATCGCTCCTCAAACTCTCCGCCCTCACCCCCCTTCCCAACACCCCACAAACCCACCTACTACTCGCACGAGAAGTCTTTGAAGCCGGCGCCTTGTTATCCATCCGCGCAAAAGACACTGAGTCTTTCACACGCTACGTGCACCTCCTCACACCCTTCTACGAACTCCCCGCGGACCGTCTACCAGCAACCAAGAGCGAACGGAGTAAGATTACGGGCCTGTATCTGCTGCTACTTCTGACATTGGGGAATTATGGAGGTTTCCATACTGAGCTTGAGGGCTTGGAGTTGAGGAAAGAAGGCGGACGGGTTGAGGATGATAGATTCTTGGGGTATCCAATCAAGCTGGAGAGGTGGTTGATGGAGGGGAGCTATGATCTTGTGTGGAAGGCCATGGCGAGTCGGGAGGTGCCGAGTGAGGAGTATGGTATTTTCTCTGAGGTGCGTCTCTTTCCCCCATTTCAGCTGTACTGCATTTGGGAGAACAAGAGCTAACAAAGTATATATAGATCCTAATCAACCAAATCCGCCGCGAGATCGCCTCCTGCAGCGAAGTCGCCTACCCATCCCTCCCCATCTCGTCTACCAAAAACCTGCTTTTCCTGGACAGCGAAGGTGCAGTTGTGTCGTTCGCACAGCATCGTGGATGGCTCATCAAGGACGGCCGGATATACTTCCCCACCCAGAGCTTAAAGGCCGGTGTTGATTTGGAAGGTAATCAAAAGGAGGTCAGCCGGTTGACTATTGAGAATACGCTGGGGTATGCGCGAGAGTTGGAGACGATTGTATGAGGAGATCAGGTTGCAGCGGAACGAGAAGGTCATGACCTGGCTTATCACAAGACGATGATATATCACACACAAACATGTACTCTAGAACAGGCGCTTAGGCGTACTTAACGACGCAAATCAAGACTGGACTTTCATATGATATGATTTCCGTCTACTCACATCAACGAAGCTACTAACATTCATCTCATACTCCCTACATGCAACGAGGCGTAAGCAGCCGTGTATGACCGTCTACTTTTTTCCTAACTCCATTTTCGTTCCAAAATTCCCGCTCTCATGCAACAAGCTTCAATCCACTCCCGTTCTTTCCAACTTCACAGACGCCGCAAACTGCACATACTGTTCCCTTGTATTTAGAATGGTACTTGCTTCCGTCGAAAGCACATACTTCAAACGCGGACCCAGAGTAGATGGGTGTGTATGAAGCGGCGCAGATGTCAAACTCGGCGAACTGATCAAATTCAATCTCATTTGCGTCATTAGGGTTTCGTTCACATTGAGCTTTCGTTTTTCGTGCCTAGGACATTAATTAGTAAGGGACCACATGATATGATGGATCAAAAACTCACATTATCGAGCATCTTAGTTGCCCCGCCATTGGCCAACATTCTGTTCGCAAAGCTCAAAGCCGAGTTGAAGTTCTTGCTGGTGTAGGCCAGCTTCATCGCGCTCACCAACGCGATCTGTCTATGTGGAACCTCGAGCTTGGGGATTGTGAAGTATGCAGAGAGTTCAAGACTACGCTTGAGCTTCTCGGGTGATTTGGCGATTTCTTCTGCGCTACCAAGCTTTCGGCGTGATAGCTCAATGTTCATAGCAATGCTATATTCGCTTGCGGATGCAATGAGCTTTCTAGCTTCTTCAACTTCTGAAGCTGTTGATACCGCGTTTACCAGAAGAGCGTGAAGGATACCTTTGAAGATACGAGCACCGTCTTCAAGTTTGTTGGTCCGCATAGCGTCATAACCCCTTTGAAGATCATTTGTAGCCAAGGACTCGATATCTCGGGGGATGATGGGGAGGACTTTTCGAGGATCAGTTTCGTCAACTGTTCGGCGGACATAGTTGATGAGAGGAGGTAGACCAGCAGAGGCGGGGAGATAGGTCTTCGAAGCTTGGTAGATCTCCAAGAATCGAGGCTTCAAGGGCTCAAAGTTAACTGCACCGAGTTGTCGATTGAGCAACTGCATGGCGGACTCAAAAGAGCCTCCGGCCACGTGGTCAGCAGCCAAGGGGGAATTGCGGGCCCATAAATCTGCTTCACTGCTTCCGGCACCAGCTTCAGCACTGTCTACGTTGACGAAATCGCTCTCCACTTCCGGAACAATATCATCACCCATATCCCAGCCAGCAGCGTCCTCGTCATCGTCCGCATCAATGAGGTTGCCGTTTCTTTTCGCCCCATCATCCTCTCCTGCCTCGTCAAATCCAAATCCATTCGACGTTGCGGTTGGCTCATCTTCTAGCGACAGGCCCTCGACTTGGCCAAGCAGAGCCTTCTCGAAGAATGATTGAGAGGTGGCCTTGGTTGGCCAATTGGCCTTGAATGTAGGCACGATTGGTTTGGGTGGAGATAGGGGAGTGCCAATAGTTGGTAGAGTGATCTGTTCTTCAGTAAGACCGGTCACCTCAAGAATAGATTCGCACTCTTCTTCCAAGCCGTGAGATTTGGCTGTCATGTATGCAAGAGGATCTAGCGTAGATTAGCAATTTGTTTCGATTTATACTGATTCAAGGACGTACATAGGTCAATCTCTTTGAACATTTGTATCCGATCATTAACATCCCCGAGATACAAAGCATTCTGGAACCGAGCAGTGAAATCGCCACGGTGCTCGGCAATCTTGGCCATTCGGGTGAGCTTTGCCTCATCACCTGTAGAAAGATACAGGAATGACAGCTTGTCGAACTGCCTTAATTTCTGATACGCCATTTCAACAATTTGATGGTTGCCATGGGCAAGGGCTTCTGTTGTTAACCGCGACCAGAGCTTGGGTCTGTCCAGCTGCTTTGCCATCTCAACAGCAACTTCCAAGTTGCCGCACTCAATAGCAAGCTCGAACCGAGTCTGGGGATCTTGGACGAACTGGAGTGCAATTTCAGGGTATCCCTTCTTCTGCAGGTATGAGATAATGCTTTGACCAACAAGACTTGAGTTCTTGATGATTTGCAGCATTTCCTCATAATTTCGCTTGACTAATGCGAGCTTGAATCGATACTCGGTTGGGTCAATGTTCAAGAGCTTTGGTTTGGCATTTCGGTCCAGACAGTAAACACTGCGAGCCTTCACACGCACGAGGTAGACTGTTTGGTCGAGGGTTCGGACAATGCCATTGTCTCCATTCAACAGGGTATATTTGATGTGGTTGAGGGTGGAGTAGAGAAGAACACCTGCATCATCCCATGTCGCGCTCTTGATTCGAATCGTCTCGTGCAGAGTGCTGACTTGTTCCAAAGTCTTTGTAACAATAGTGACATTGTGCTTGCTCAGAAGTGCAGCGTACAGTCCATCATTCGACCAGACAACATACTTTACTCCGCTCACAGCTAATTCTGCTGTGCTCTTCTTCTGCTGAATATCGTACAAGTAGACTGTGGTTGGGGTTATCAGAAGCAGGTTTCCGGTCCCGCCAAAGTAAATATCAGTAGTTCCAGTTGGTGGTTTGATGGTTTTCGTGGTTGAGTTAGATAGATCCTTGATATCAATCTGCTGGGTCGAAGCATTGAAAACTGCGAAACGGTTTCGTGCTACAAATTGCGCTGAAGTTCCCTGGCCGCGCTTGGTATCAGTTGCATCGACAGAGCCTGAACCGTCCCTTGGGAGGTTTATGAGTTCGTAAGATCCGCCATCTGCAGGAGATGTAACCAAAATAGCTCTTTCCGCTGGATTATATGAAAGAGATCGCGGTGGGACCCAGGGGCTACCAAGCTTCTTCAGGGTCAACAAAGTTGGGCTCTCAACGTTCTTTTGGAAATCGTATGATCGAACGTGCTTGTCCTTGGTAATGAAAAAGAGGTTGTTCTGGTAAAAGGCAGATGCAGGTCTTTCCCGTTCAAGCTTAAAGACCATTACACCATTATCGTGTCCAGCCGCAAAGAGATTGATCTCGGGATGAGCAGCAATAACCCAGAATCGATCATTTTCCCGCTTAAAAGACTGTACTGAAGTGCGCTTGTTGAGGTCCCACACTCGGATTGTCTTGTCTTCACCCACAGACAAAATCAGGTCTTGGTGGGGATGGAACAGGCATCCTGAAGCATTCTGGAAATGGCCTCGACATGTATCAACTTCCCAAGCCTTGGTTTCACTCATTCTCCACAGTTTCACGAGCCTATCGTCACCCGCAGAAACGATGAGCGGTAATGTGGGATGGAATGCAACCCAGTTTACACCCCTGTCGTGCCCCTCCAGCACAAATTTGACTACGGCATCCGTATTACCAAACATATCCGCTTGATTCTGATTCGCTCGAGACATTTGATCTTCGAAGGTCATTGAGGTGGGAGCTGAGTGCTTCTTTCGTAGGCCGGAAATATCCCAAACTCGGACGGACTGATCTAGGGAGGCAGAAACTACCAAATCGTCTTTGGGATGGAATTGCGCACACATGGTATAATGGTTGTGGCCGGTCATAGTGCAAACTAGGTACATTTATCAGTATGGTTCTCGCGCCCTCAATTTGGCCTTTGAAACTCACTCAGTGATCTGTTCTGCCAGTTCCAAATCCGAATTGTCTGATCATCGGAACTGGAAATAATCCAAGGAAGCTCGTGGTGAAAGAAAACTGTGCGAACGTAATCCAAATGGCCATTCAACGTGAATAGGCATCTGCGAGTCTGATATGACCAGACTTTGATCTTGTAGTCGTCCCCGCCAGAAACGAAGAGGGGTTGTGTTTTGTGGAAGTCGATTCCTCGGACTGGGCCATCATGCTCCTCGAAACGGTCAATTAAAGTTCCCATACGGTAGTCCCAGAGCTGGATCGTCGACGAGTGGAGAGAGACGAGAATCCATGGCCTGGAGAGAGTGAGTTAGGGACGCGCAAAGGGGGTGGGCTGAATATACCGTTTGGGATGGAAAGCAATTCCTTTAGCCCTCGAGGATTTCGACTCAAACTATAATGCTTGTTAGAAACGCTCTAACCAGCTTCTGCCATCTTGTATTCGCGCCCATACCTTCGTAAGCATATTTGGGGTGGAGGATGCCATCTTGACCGACGCTGGGAGAATCGAGGAAGCCTATGCTCCACACATGAATGGCAGGGCAACTGCAGATCTCCCTTCAAGATGAAGCCGCTCCTGAAGTGACGATGAGTACGAAGGTCGAGAGTCGAGGATTGAGTGTTGGTGGAAAGTAATAATCGAGGGCTCCCAAGGTGGATTCCGTGGGTTTGTGTGATGGGGGAAACTGCGACGTTGCGATTTGTGGTCGCTCATGCCTCAATCCCAAGGCATCTATGCGTCCCCTTAGGGGAAGCTCACGCTGGGGACAGTTTGGCAAGGTGGCCCTAAGCTACCTATCTAAGGTAAACCATCACTTGTACTTCAGCCTTATCCTTTTGCTTTACTTTGTAGAGCTCCTGTAAAATAGAATGCAATGTTCTCGGCTTTTTCTATCTTGATTAGGCATTAATTGACTTCCATCCGCTGGCGGACAGCAACGCTCCTTGGGGATTATCTATCTCGGGTCTTTAACAGCTTTAGGAACACACTCTGTCCGTTCCATAGAAATTGATAATACGATCAACAATGACAATGGGAGCATTTAGCTTGCCGTGGGGCCTCACTGGGGCTCTACTAGCAACTACATATCTTCATTCCATATGCGCCTCTGCCGGTCCATCAATAAATGTTGGGTTAAAGGCGTCTTTTTCTTCAGCGCCCTACCTCCTCGAATTGCTGTAGGACAACATTCCACCGGACTTAGATTGTAACTCACTGACAATGGCACAGGGAAACTGCAGCAGACGAGAACACAACGTCCTATTACCCACTCCTCGATCGAATTGCGGACGGTCACTTCGCGAAGGCGTCTACGGATAAACAGCTCTACGAACAATTCATAGAGGTGTTGAAGGAGGACGGCCACATTACGGACTTGGAAACACTGGCTTCCTATAAGTTTGCGTTGTCTATGCGAACATCTGCTCCTCGGATTGAAGCACATTACCAGTATTACCATACTGCGGCCGAACCCTCTTTACAGGTCGACGAGGAGACCTCTTGTCCGACATGGGTCTTATTCAATGGGAAACAGTATTGTTCTCCAGCTTTAGATGCGCCTCACGGAGATATCAATGGAGATTTGTAAGCATTGTTCTTGCAGGAGAGGGTTTAGGAGCTGATACTTCCCATAGGCAAACCCAAGAACTCCAATTTGATCGCATGCTGGGAAATCCTACGGCACCCCCTTCTATTTTGTACGCCGACATAACATCTTCCACATTTGGGCAATTCCACAAGACTTTGGTTAAGACGGCTCGAGAGGGTAAAACCTCGTACCGTGTACGCCATAGGAAAGCTCTTTCAGCAGAATCGAAGCCTCTCCTTGTCCCAGGATATGGTGTAGAACTTGCTTTGAAACGTACAGACTACATCGTCATTGACGATCGGGAGGATGGCGACAGTAAATCGATCGAGCAACTCTCCGAGAAGGAGGTGAAGTTTGAAGACGAGGAACTAGCAGATTTGAAACCCTTGTCCTCTTCGGAACTCTTTTCACTCGGTCTGAAAGCGTCCAGTTTCATTATGCAGAGTGAAAATCCACTCGAGACCCTTGTAAAACTTTCACAGGATTTCCCAAAATACTCGAGTGCTATAGCTTCACACAATGCCAGCAAAGAGTTTGTTACAGAACATGACTACAACCGGGCTCAGTTGGTTCCGGGGGGGTACAATGTTTGGTGGATGAACGGGGTTCAAGTCATTGAGCGAGAGATCGAAGCGTTAAGCATCCTTGAACTTCTACGCGCTGAACGGAAGCTCATCAACGGTGTTCGAGAGCTTGGCTTAACTGGACAAGAAGCAATTCAACTTTTGTCTCATCAAGATATAGCAACTGTGCAAGCTGAAGGCGAGCTCCAAAGATTTGACTGGAGGGATGATTTCGAAGGTGGAAATGTCATCATTTGGATGAACGACATTGAAAAAGACAAGCGGTACGGGGAATGGCCAACATCTGTCCAAGCTGTAGGTACTCGCATCTCAGAAGAAGCACGTTACTGATACCTCGTCTAGATGCTGCAACGAACCTACCCCGGTCAACTTCCATCGGTCCGAAAGGATTGTTTTTACCTAGTCCTACCAATAAATTTCTCAGACCCTGAAGACATCCTCATCGTAGTAGAGACGCTTCAGAGTTTTGTTAAGAGAAAGCTTACTATTAGAATTGGCCTTGTACCAATCAGTAGCACGATCCATTCCTTGGAACAAGCTCGAGTCGTATACCATTTGCTTGACACCTACAGTCTTTCGACAGTCATATCGTATCTTGAGCGTTCCTACACTGCTGGTAAAGTCACAGCCCCCAGCAAATCAATATTTGAGGCAACCGTGGAAGGGAAAGCCCCTAAAGGAGAAAAGATTTCCCGAGAGATTTATGAGGTCCTCAAGTCTAATGACTACCAAGACAAAGTTGAAGCCTCACAGAGATGGGTCCATAGGCTCTCAGCCGACACTAAAATTCCACCTATGTTTGTCGACGGAGTTGCATTACCACGTGATGAAAACTGGCTTCAATCAATGAGCAAAAGAGTCACGGCCGACTTGCAATCTATTCAACAGGGCATCTTCGATGAGTCACTCTCAGACGAAACATGGCTTCCAACGTACTTTCTGTTCCAAGCAGCGAAGAAGAGAAATTCACTCGTCATTCCCGAAGATGAAAAAAGCCTGAGAGTGTTTAATGTCAACAAAATCGTGAGCGAAAATCAAGACCTTTTTAGCACACTACCTCACGTCAAAGCCGATCCCGCATCTGAGAAGGCCGATTGGGCTCACATGATGTTGTTCACGGACTTGGAAGCTGAAGAAGGCGCGAAATTTCTTGCTACAGCAGCGGTCTTCCGGGAGGCAAACCCAGGTGTGGAACTACTTATAGTGCACAACTCGGCTTCGGAATCTGTCGACTCCAGTCTGAGCGCGGATCTGTTTGCTCGTACTCAACATGGCGTAGAGAAGGGATCCCTAAGTGTCAACGACTTGACTAAGCTCCTCTCTGAAGAATCACCTCAGGGAACGAACAAAGACGATGTAATTCGTTATTGGCAGGGCGCGGAGTTGTTGACCAAGTCTATTGCACTGACGTCTGGCCAAACTGCTATTCTTCTCAACGGCCGGCTTGTCGGACCAATTCCAAGTCCAGCTGAATTTGACCTGGAAGATTTTGAGCAGCTGTTATCTTACGAGCGTAACAATCGTATTGTACCAGCATATACTGCTCTGGAAGCACTAGGCCTATCCGACAAAATTGCCGACCCGCTTGCTGCCGCGAAAGTGTCGTCTATTGTAGCAATCTCGACAATTGATGACAAACCTGCCGGTATGTTTGAACAGGCATCAACTCTCAGAATGAACAAGTTCGATGTCTGGAGCTCCTCACATACAGCTATTGAGGTTGGCGATGCCACTACTGCTAGCATCCAAATGACTGTGCTTGTGGATCCGGCTAGTGAGCATGGCCAGAAGTGGGTGCCGCTACTGAAGGCCATTTCTGAGCTCGATGGCGTCTATCTGAAGCTCTTCCTCAACCCTAAAGAAAGGCTTCAAGAGCTTCCTGTAAAGCGATTCTATAGATACGTCATCGACTCAAGGCCAACTTTCGACGATGCTGGAGCACTCAAAGATCTCAGTGCTACTTTCACGGGCGTTCCTCAAGAGGCATTGTTGAATTTGGGTATGGATGTCCCTCCTGCATGGCTTGTGGCGCCAAAGGTCTCAGTTCATGATTTGGACAATATCAAGCTCAGTTCTATCAAGACCAATGTCGACGCACTCTACGAGCTAGAGCATATTCTTATTGAGGGTCACTCGCGTGAAATTCCAGGTGGCGCACCTCCACGTGGCGCACAGCTTGTTTTAGGCACTGAAAGAGATCCACATTTCGCTGATACGATTATTATGGCAAACCTGGGGTACTTCCAGTTTAAGGCCAACCCAGGTTTCTATAAGATTGACCTCCAGCAGGGCAGATCATCGGAGATCTTCAAGATAGACAGTGTTGGGGCTCAAGGATGGAGTCCAGTCCCTGGCGATAACACGACGGAAGTTGTATTGATGAGCTTCCAAGGAACCACTTTATACCCACGTCTCTCACGCAAGCCGGGCATGAAGACGGAAGATGTGCTCGAAGCAAAGTCAGAATCCAAGTCAAACATCGTGTCCCAAGGCTTTAAATTCGCCCAGGGTATTCTTGGCAAAGGCAAGCCGGTAGTGGAGATGGAAGCACAGGCTGACATCAACATTTTTTCCGTTGCAAGTGGTCACCTTTACGAGCGCATGCTGAACATCATGATGGTCAGCGTCATGAAGCACACCAAGCACACCGTCAAGTTCTGGTTCATTGAACAATTTCTCTCCCCATCATTCAAAGATTTCATTCCTTACCTAGCCGCCGAACACGGCTTCAAATACGAAATGGTAACCTACAAATGGCCTCACTGGCTACGCTCGCAAACAGAAAAGCAGCGCGAGATCTGGGGCTACAAAATCCTTTTCCTCGATGTCCTGTTCCCGCTCTCCCTCGACAAGGTCATCTTTGTCGATGCGGATCAAATCGTACGAACAGACATGATCGAGCTCGTGAATCACGATCTAAAAGGCGCTCCCTACGGCTTCACGCCTATGTGCGACAGCAGGACCGAAATGGAAGGCTTCCGCTTCTGGAAACAAGGCTACTGGGAACGCTTCTTAGCAGGCCTACCCTACCACATCAGTGCCCTTTATGTCGTCGACCTCCACCGATTCCGCCAAATCGCCGCAGGAGACCGTCTACGCCAGCAATACCACCAACTCTCCGCCGATCCCAACAGTTTGTCCAACCTCGACCAAGACCTGCCGAATCACATGCAAAATATCCTGAAAATTCACAGTCTGCCCCAGGAATGGCTGTGGTGCGAGACGTGGTGCAGTGACGAGAGTCTGAAGGATGCGAAGACGATTGATTTGTGCAATAATCCGCAGACGAAGGAACCAAAGTTGGATCGCGCCAGGAGACAGGTGCCCGAGTGGACAGTATATGACGATGAGATCGCAGCGGTTGATAGACGGCGGAAGGGTCTGAATGGGAATGGAGAGAAAAAGAACGAGAAGAGTAGAACGCTAGAAGAAGAGCCGGTTGCAACGAGTAAGAAGGATGAGTTGTAGATCAAATGGGGTTTGGGTAATCAGTGTATAGTGTATTAGAATACGCCAATTTGTTCTTAGATTTCGGGCTGCGCTTGTCGCAACTGATCGCCATTAGACAAGTCACTTTTCTATCGGAAATTTGATCAAAATATCCACTTTTTAGGTCATATGCCCCGCCACTTAACTGCTACTTGTATTAAATAAAGGTTCTATATACTTCTTATTAGTATCAACGAACTAGACTCAAGCCGCAGGTCTTCCTTAGCCGTAAGCATTCAAGATTAAATACAAGCTTAGTTTTGAGAAGGCTGCAACTATTACAACATATCGAAGAAGCTTATCTAGACTTTAAAAATAAATGCACAAGCAGCACAAAGCTATTTCAAAGTGGACCTAAAGGGGGAGAAACCACGTGATTAGTATACATTCAAGGCACTTCAAATAGATCAGATAAATCAGCTGAAGACTAGGAACTTGTAGCCAATTTAAGTTTTTCAAGGGACTCCTCGATTAAACACGATCAATGATTGGTCTATGAAAAGGTGGAATGGCCAAGTGATCTCAAGCTGGTTTTCTAAGGCACGAAAATCTGGAACCTTGGCCGCGATCTAACGCCTATGTTAGAAGTGATGCAGGATTTTACCCTTCTTTGTTTATTTACCATAACAGAACTACACGACTGTCTAATTATTAAATGCAAGGGGAGCAGACTGCGTACACAATCCTAACAATCGCATGAACTGTAACAATTAACCTGTCAAAACAACGAACTCCTCTGTTAATAGGTCTACAAAAACATAATTTAGGCCTAGACTAGCAAATACAATTAGACACAATTTTACCATCTTAACCCAATAATCATCTATTATCTAACTTATACCACAATCTGAGACTATAATCTGCCATGAATGAGCAATCTTAAGATCGTAGATCAATGTCGAAGGAGATCGCTTCCCATTCTCGACTGGCAATTAGCTCGTTGTCTCCTACTCCGCAATTCTGAGGGACCTCCTTCCCAATCCGAAGTGAGGAATGCCTGAGGACAGATTGTCTCGCGTTAAGCTTGAAATTCGGCATGTTGATTCATAGTGTTAGGTGGAGTGGGACTTCAAAAATCGGTGACATTGAGTGCCGTTTGTCTATGTCTGATGGTCGATTATGTACAGATGATGAATCGTGAAGTCGCGGAGAGACATAATAATAAGAGTGTTTGAATTTAATTCCCCATCAATTATACTTATAATTCCTTAATTGTGAACATGCGAAGGCTGACCCCTAATCGTTGCCCACAAATCCTCAAATACCTTCACCATCCCCTCACTCAACGGCCCCTTCCAACAAGTCGTCAAACTTGCATCAATCTGCCCTGTATTACTTGCGCCCAAAATGAATCCAAGCGCATGGGCTGCGAACGCCTTGCCATGCGACATCGATCGCAACTAAAATGATTGAATCAAGCCTGATTCTAGCCACAAATGATTAATCATAGAAGTTAATACTACCTATTATATAATATTAATATAACATTTGCTTACTTGTACATAAATACGGATTATCAATGCGCAACTGCAAATTGGTCGCAGAGCGAAACTTGTCGTTGCTATAAAAGCGGGGCATATGGTAAGCGAGGACAAAGGGGCGGCTGGTGGGTGGCTTGTTCTTTTGACGACTGTGGATTCATTGTGCGACCGTCTTTTTTTTTTTTTTTTGTAATATAGATTGGCATGTCAGTGATCGTAGCATTGGCACTGTTTGCATACGTATATTGAAGCTTCGAGAGGAAGACATTGGAAAGCTGCGGCTATGATGGATTGGAGAGGGAAAGCAAAACGAGAGGAAATTGCGAGTATCCTAGATCTAGTCAAGCATTCGCAACGGCTAATTTTGAATTGGCTATGCTAACTAATAGCCACCTTCAAGATATTAATGGTTTCCAAGGAGATATACTTAATAGAGTGAGGTTGACTTTGCTGGGAAGTAGCTGGAAAGTGTTTGGGGTCATTTAATAACGTGTTAACGACTCATTTCACTTACAAGTTGCAACGTCAACACAGGGTTTGTATTAGCAATGTAACCAAACGCTTTTTGCTTTGTGAATACAAGAGCCTCATTACCTTGCCTTTCATAATACTAGTCTCTGCCAAAAGTCTTCCGATGTATGATATAGGAGATCAGACAAATATATGCGTAGAGGGTGATACCCAAAACCACTGTAGACCCGAACTCCGCAGGAAGCTTTGAAAGTATATATCTTCCACTAGGATCCACAGCGAAAATAACAATCTACTCGAATCAACGCAGAGGCTCTTTCAACAGGTATTGAGTTACCCAGAGGACGTGTTTTATGTGAATAGGTTTCGGTCAACTATATTAGGCATAGGAGTTACTAGGGAGATGCTAGCGCGTTGCGTTAGCGGCTTCTTGCAGTTCGTTGGCAAGAGAACGATGCCAAGAGAACGTTTCAGAGACTCCACCTGTTGACAGAATTTCTTTAACATAAAAACTTTTCCTCAACCTCCAAACCTTCAACTTCTCAACAACAAGCAGTTTGCCCCCAGAACAACAAGTGAGTCTAGCATCTGGTAGCTTGGACATAGAGGGAATATGTTTGGTCTCTGGATAGCCACGCTCAAGTGATCTCTAGAGGAAAATTACAGCTTCGCCCCCCAGCGACTCAATGCCTCCCTCCACATTTACTGACACTCCTGCTTCCTCTAGGATATCAAGCATCAAACTCACACCAGCGAGAGACTCATTCGTGATGTCTAAGAAGCGCGAAAATGGCAAGAGCTCTGCTGAAGAGCAGAAGCCTCAGACAGACTCCGATAGCGATTGTAAGTACCGACAGCTCCCTAAGGTAATCAAGAGCCAAAACTGACAATTATTGCAGCCCCCTCTACAGGACAACGGCCTACAACCAGTGACAACCAAACAGGTTGGTCTTTATCTCATCCAGGAAATTAGATTACTGATAAATTAGAAGTCACCCCCAGAAACAATCAGCGCCGTCCTGCCGCCCGTCGCGCTGATACCCACGAAGAGCCCAAGCCTGGCCGGGGAGGGAAAGGTATTAAAGTAAGGCAACTGCTTATTATCCTTCAGGTAAATACTTGGCTAATATCGGCTTGTAGAATCCGCATAAAGCACCAATCGCACCCCCAAACACGGTATTCTTGCTGAAGCAAAACCCTTCTATCAACCCCAAACGCAAATTCGTTCTTGGCAACCCTGAGCCTAAAAGACTTCTGCTGGAGCTGTATGATACGATGGGTAGACGGGTTAGTTTTCTTTTCGCGTCTTCCACTCGATTTCTTTGTTTAGCATTTGTTAGGAGTTTACAGACACATGAGGAGATACTAGACCACTAACTCCTAGTGTCTTGCTAGATTCCCCACTACTACACGGCGACCGGTCCCAGGAACTGGAACGATCCGCGCTTCATTAAAAAAATCAACTCGTGGAGAGATCAAGCTATTCGACGACACTTCAAAGATGACCCGGGGTATGTCATAAAGAAGCGGGCCAACTACACTTGGATGGAGAAGGAGTTCTTTGGATGCAAGCTCAGGCGGTATTTCCACAGAAAGAAGCTCATCCTGGAGAGCAGGGATAAGGCTGCTCCGGGGGACGAAAAGAAGCATGCTCCAATATATGTCAAGAAGAATATTAGAGACCTTATGAAACTGGACACCAGGGACTGGAAGCAGTTGGCTAAGAAACACAATCGCTATTTCGCAGGAAAGAACGTCCCGATTGGCGAACCTCGGAAGGGTGGAGATCCTACCAAGAAAGAGTTTGAGATTACGAACCGCAAGTACGTTAGTCTCAAAAACGTCTACTCCAGGGAACAGCAAGCTGCTATGATCGACGAGGTAGTAGACGGAGAATGCAACGAGGTTGGCGCGACAGATTCGGAGTCAGTTGGAGAAGAGGATAACACCGCTGCCGAAGGTGATTCGGATCAAGACTCTGATGGAGAAGACCATGATTCTCAGGAAGAACCCGACGATGAGATTTATAAAGGATACCATGGCTATAAAGAGGAATCCGACGATGAGGATGATGGCCGGCGCATGACTTCCAATACCACCGGTGGTATCCGTATCCCAACCTACCGGTACTGAACGACGGCCTGATATATCGCCGGTCATTTGTGTGAATCGGTATAGAAATCAAGGCAGACGCATACCATAACAATACTTCATTAAGTATAAACAATAAAATAATATCAACGTCTATATCATCAGCCTTATGATGATTTGATGCATTAGTTGGCTGGAGGCTGTTATTGCTCGCATAATAGGCGCGCCGCACTCCTAATTTATATAGCTGATTAATTATGCCATTGCACTCTATTGGTTTCCAAAAATATCGATTGGAAGTTGTAAAGATAAGCGCAAATTATCATCTAATCTCCCTAAAGAATCTATATATTAGACCAGCTTATAAAACAAGTCAAGTGCGTTACGTTACTTTACACACTACAGACTATAACTTAGGTGAAATCTGGCTCTACAAGCCCCCTAAAGCCAAACAACATTAACTATTCTAGCAAACCCGATATAGATAAATAGATTGTGGAAGCAGTAAATGGCTGCGAAGACTCATATCACAGGTTTGTCCAACTTGAAGGGCTCCAAGCATATATAAGAAGTCATACCTATGGCCTTGAGATCCTCGGCGATAATTTAGAAGGATTCTTTACTCAGAATATATCCTGGCCTAAGGAATATCTTCTGGAGCTTTAAGACAATGGAGCATAAACTGGCAATCAGATGAAACAGAGTCTCGTTAGGTTATCCTGCCCTAAGCCCTTTCAACTCCCTTACCTATATCAGATAATTAGAACGTTCTAGCCTCATTTACAAGGATTAGCTTTATAGCCCTTTCTAGATGCATCGATGCACAGAACAGCCCAGCCACCCTGTATGCACACATTCATTTCGAGTTCTGCGCACTCTCTACTAGTGATGGGTATGGGGGAACTATTGACCGACTCTCTGTAACTGGTGGACTAC